GTCTGGCTTGTCAACTAGGAAATGGTTGCAAGCTGAGCAATGTTATTTCAATTTCAATTAATCGTTTCTTTGTAATTCTATGGATGTCGTTGTCGGCATTATGTTTAATAACTATACGGAAATGTCTAACATTGTATTAATGATTTAATACTTAAACAAATGTTGAAGAACACATAGCGTTATTTTGCTATCTGACATCTGAAGTCTGTTTCTTAATTCAAACGACTTAAGAAATATCAAGGATATTCGGTTATTTATAGCCGTAAGATAACAAAGCCCAAAATTAGAAGTCCCTAAAGATAAATATAAGTCAATATTAGTTTCCATGTTTTGAAATGTCTCCAATGCCTTACATATATGAGGAATATTACTATTCCTATTTAAATTCCCCCATCGCCTTGTTAATGAGTTCCCTTATAGGTATGGATCCTTTATTTTGAAGCAACCCCCATTGCGTTGCTGTTCGATTACCAATGTCGTTGACACTCCATCAGTAATTTAAGCGCGTTTTCAACGTGCAGCATGCACCTGCAACTGTGCGACTAAGCCATCTGCCACGAATGCTGGAAAACAAAAGAAATGCTGAGAGGGAAGACACCTTTAATTACGTCGTGATCCGCCCCAGCCCGCATCTCCTTTCCCTGCCTGCCTTCCACTCCAATTGGCTTACATCGCATATATCAGAGTTGTGACACATGGTGCGCCGTTCAATTATTGATTAGTGTAAGTGCCATTAAGGGCAGGCAGTGCTCCAGCTTTTCCAGGACTACGTGACGAACTATCAGAGGGGATTTCGGGCAGACAGCTGTTCGCCTTATCCTTTTCGTTTCCCCTTAAAGGGCAAAAACTTCTACCGGCATAACCCTGGAATACCATCGGATTGTATCCTGCGCCGGGCCAGTTCGCTTCCTTCTTCTGGCCTTGTGCAATACAATCAACATGCCACATTTGCGCCTAGTTTACGACAGCTGCCAAGCAACTCCTCGCTCCCTCGTGGCTACAACTTGAGCTCGGTTCTCAGAGCTACCCTTACTTTCTTGTGCTTGCTTGTGCTGGCTGTTGCTTCTTGGCGGCTGATTGATCCTCGCTTCGATCTTGTTACAGCTGCTGCATCGGTTTTCAGTTCCCAGGTACGCGGGCCGTTGTCCTGTCTTGGGATCTGTATTTACCCACCTTTCCTTTCTGCTGTCATCTTGTTTTTTTTTTGTTTTTTTTTGCCTGTACCAACTCTTGCTCTTATTGTTATTTTAATTGGCAAGCATTGTGTTGTTCTGTTTTCGCTCCAAGGTCTTAGGATTAGGATTTCAACGATGCTTGCCTAAGATCTTTCTTTAATATTTTTGGATTGTTGTCTAAGAAAAAAGCATATTAACTAGGTTTTAAAGGACCATTGTTAAAAATTTGCCGGTGAAAACTTATTAAGCGCTTTAATTAATAATATGTAAGCAAACAACTTTTTGTATCTTCTTAACAGAACAGGGCATTTCTTGTTTTTTAAGGGTTTAGTTTTTATTAGACAAAGTAGAAATTCTAAATTCAAATTAAAAAGAAAAGCATGTAAAAAGCATATGTAAAAGGTAGAAATGTTGTAATTATATTCCATTTAAAAACTAATTAACGCCCAATGTTCGTGCTCTTATTTTTTTGTTACGCAAAAATCAGCTTAAAAACTCCATAGTTCTAAATTTGCGGATACTCTTTATTTAATCGCTTTAGTCCTATCCAGTCAACCTAAACACTTTCTAAAATCCCATCCTATATTCCCTTTGATAACTCAATTATCCTCTAGATAAGTAGACATTTGTAGTTTCTTTTGCAAGACATTCCTTTCTCAATTCAGGGCTTAATTCAATAAAGGATATCCCAGACCCTTGGTTTGTTCCTCGGTATCTGAGCAATTTCTTTTGATTTTCCTTTTTACCAGCGACAAGAACATTCCCTATTGTCATTGGCAAAAATAACGTTAAATTCAATTTGAATAATTCTATCGTTTATTTGACGAGTTGGTTGTTGTATACTTGGATGTTTTCTTCACTTATGCGAAATTCTTTCCGCAAAGGGGACAAGGACAACCCTTTTATACGACCATTAACCCACAGCTTTGTTTGCCAGAACAGAGGGAGAAATCGCGAAAGGGTAGGAGTGAGCTGAGCATACACACATTCAAACGCAGACACGCTAATATAATATTTATAGTTGGTGTTTTACTTCCGGCTGCCTTGGCTTGGCTTCTTTTATTGAATTGAATTTGTCGCACAATGGAAATAAAATTGAAATGTGTACAGGAAGCGATTGCCGAATGCAAAGCACGCTCAAGTTGTCAAATAAAAATATATATATATATTGTTCATACACCATAGGGGTTGTTTTGCTATCCTGATCCCGCTTCTGCTTTAGGCCATTAGCTGCAGCAACAGGATAATCACAATTGCGGCAGCTGGTTTGGAGGAGGATAAAAAAGAGGGTTAAAAACGTAGCGAGAAGCTTTCAAAAATACACAAAACTTGACCATGAAAAAGGATTAACTCAATTTGCAATTACAAAACATATCACAAACACTCACAATATAATTTTGCTTACAGTATAAAGTCTACTACTTATGTTTGTCGTTACAGAAGTAAAATTTAAAATAAATTAGAGTAATATATTTTCAGAACTGCAATAGAGCTCAATTTAACTCTTATTTTTTAAAACATTAAATGAAACGCAATGTTTTTTTTACTCAAATAAACTTCAATGCAGGTCAATGAAAATTGCCTTAAAATAGTAAAAAGTCATACTATAACAAATCTGCTTCAAGCTGAAAATATGTCGGTATATAACTATGTCTGCAGCTCGATGTTTTAATGTGGCAGATGGTGGGTTGAGTTGTTCCGGATCGATGCCGGTTTCTTCCTTTCTTGACCTGAATCTAATGAGGCATGAAGGTGTTTCTGTCGGTTTTGGAAATTCGACACCAGAGATTTCAAAGCAACAGGCTCACACTACCACTTTGTTGACGGAAAATACCAACCGATTGGGATTCCCTATTGGGAAAATCTTCCATCAGGTGGCAACGCCGTTAATAGGTTTTTACTTTTTGTCTGGTCTACGTGACCAAACTACATTGTGTGTGTGCTATGTTTGTAAGTATAAGGTATGTTGCACCCCCAACCCCGATATTGAACAACAATAATAGCAAGGAAGTCTGATGAGAAAAAGAGAGAAAGCAAGTAAGAGAGAGAAAGGCAGCTAGATAGAGAGAGAGAGCGGGTGGAGTTTCTCTCCAATCGGTAGGCCCTGCTCTTTGTTGTTTTTTGTGCAATCACTACATGTAACATTTGTTGTCCCACACAAACCTATATATAAATATACATACATATATGTATAATTAAGCTGAATATGGCAGCATGTGGCGAGCCAAAGCCACAAAAATACAACTGTAACAACAACAACAATGTGAAAAACTCGCCCAGTATTGCAGCAACATTTGTTGCAGCTGCAGTCTGGGAGTCTTGCATTCTTTTTAAACTCTGACTCACGTACTTGTTCCGTTTTTTATAGTTATTTTTGTTGTGTGCAGCAACGTCAGCGATAAGAGCTTTCCGAGTTGCACTAATGTGCCAGCCTTTTATTTTTTTTTTTTATCTATATGGAACACGTACGTTGAGGATTTATCCCTCTCTTTTGTCCACCCGCTGCATTTGCAGCAGCCACAAGAACAACAATGGATTGCTGTGATTGCTCAGTTTAACAGCCTGTTACTGGCCTGTTAGTTGAGCTGTGCTCTCTGGTGTTTTAATGTGTTTGTTGTTCTTCTGCCTTGATGGTGATGGTGTTGTAAACATGTGTTTACATGGCTCACCACCAACCGGATGTTGCTAATGACCGCAAAGCTAAAAAGCAAATCAGACGAGGAACAAACATAATTATTCAAACCGATATGGATAGCGCTCTCGAGATATAGTGGCATGAAAATTTTAATAAAGAATTTCAGAAAGTCTGTTAGCTTTTTATGTGGTTGCCTTGAGCAAAACCTAACGTCAGTCGATTGAAAGGCGAAAATAGATCTAAATAAATATCAATTTGTAGTACATATTTATGAATAAATATTGCAACTTCTCTGAATTAAATTGAAACAGAAGTAACTATATTTAAATGTATATTCATATATATTGAATGTTTGAAACAGCTATAATCCTTATTCTTTTATTGCAATTTTGTATGTGTATAAAATTGTTGTTTGGTTTGTTTCCGACTATAAGTCGCAACAGAATTTAGACTTCTGGGAATTTTGCATCCAGATATCTTAGAACTATGTGATTAGCTTACGTAGAAACAAAGCGCCTCGACTGTAAATGCTGATTAAAAGAATATGTATTTTATAGGAAATGTTTCCTTTAATGTGAGGCAAAATTCTGACTGAAATGTAGTTCCGTATAATTTTTAAAGAACCACAAAAAAAGTTTGTCCATATTTTAATAAAAAAAATAGTATTCAAGAATATACAAAAAAAAAAAAACAAAATGAAACTAAGAAATCAAGCTATGGCTAATCTGCTAATTTCTTACTTCAAATTTTCTTACTATTTGGATCATTAAAAGTTATTTTAACAGAGAATAATAAATCAAATACATTTGTCATAACTCCAGGAACTGAGTCATTATTTTCAAAATTTCTGCATGAAAATATTCGTTGAACTAATGATTTAAGATGCATTGAAAGCTTTAAGCCATGATGTTTGGTAGCACTTCCCTTCAAACGTAAAAAAAAAACTCCATTGCTCCCTTTAAATCTTAGTAAAGAATTTTTTAACTGAACCTTGCACAAAGCCGTTTAACTGATTGGCAAAATCATTCCATTTTGATTGTGTAACACGAAATATAAACTTGAGCTAACTTGAGTTGTTAGTTTTGGAGAGCTTATCATATATTTGAGTGCTTATCAGCTAGTTTACTTGTGAATCACAAACCAAACAATCGCATACTAATTTACCACTTCCTCGTTCTTGTCGCCTGCAGCAACGTACCGAACTCAGTCCGCCGACCCACCAGACATCCGCCACCGCCGAGGTAAATGCACCGCTGGCCAGCTCGACGACTGCATCCATTGCGGTGACGGCGAGTGCCACAGCGGCTTCGGCTCCCCCAGCGACGGGCAGCACTACCTCAGGCAGCAGCAGCGGCGGCAATGCAAGCTCAACCTCCAGCGGCAACAGTTCCGGCGGACCGACAACCGGAGGAGCACCATCCGGCGTGGTGGGATCCGGTGGCTATCCAAAGACAGAATCGAGCAAATCGAGTGGCACTGGAAGCGCAGGCGGCGGCACCAGCAGTAGTTCCAGTGGCAACAAGCACGGCAGCAGCGTCAAGGACATCAGCAGCAGCAGCAGCAGCAGCAGCAACCAACAGCCGACGTCTGGGAGCAGCAGCAATGCACCCAGCCTGTATGTCTCCGTGCCGCTGTCCACGGCCAATGTACCTGGAATTAATCTGCCCACCAGCAGCAGTAGCACTAATACGAGCAGTGGTGAGTTCTCCCGGAAAATGAACTTTGACCGATTTAAGCGTAAACTAAATAGAAAAAGCCAGCAAAGCCTAAAATCCGTGACGAATTTCGGTACAATTGATTTTTAAGACATTTTAGGGAATGGAAAACCGACCTTAAAACAAATATATGATGCTTTAAGTTTCACTATAGATTTATACAACTTATTCAACTCATATCAAACTTATATCAACAGTTGTGGCTGTATAAAACATTTAAACCAACAAAAACATAACTTTTAATTTTTTTTTAATTTATTAATAAATAAATTTGTTCCATTTAATAAATGGTATTATTGGTTATTTTAGAAAACCATCAAGAAAGGTGACAAGATTGAATTTACGCAATATATTTTTATTATTTTATCAAAAGAACCGAATTTTCCCAATAAATACTGATAAATGTTTTTATTTTTCCTTGCAGAATCCCATTCAGCACCATCGCGCGGCAGCGGCGTTCAAACCCAACATCAGCAGCAGAGTGGTTTACCGCCAATGGGAGGTGCAGCGGGATCGTTTCACGGTGCCCCGAGTGGCGGTGGCCCCAACGGCGGCTCCTCGTCGGTCATCCAGCATCAGAGCGGCAAGTCATCGCCGGCTTTGGGCACCCTAGTCAGCGGCAACAGTGGCGGCAGCATAATCTCCGCCGGCGGCGTCCCAGTTGCCAGCGGCAACCTGACTGCCACCACCACGGAGAGCGGCAACCTAAAGATCAGCTACGAGAAGCAGACAACGCGGGTGCAGCAGCTGCAGGAGCAGGAGGCACCACCGGCCCGACGCAGCAGGTATGCAAATGGTGGTCTCTTCTATTTGTTGCCTGCGCCGCTTGCTCGTGCTTTTAGTTTATACTATCAAGTGATCGTATTTATATTTTACATCCTGTTTTCACGTGCGTTATGTTGTTGCGTTGCTGTGCGTGTGTAGCTTGTCAATTGCCCTTAGTTTGCCACATAATTCGATTTGGAGATATACTTTCCTTTTTGGTTGTTTCTTTTTTAAAATATTCATTTCCTGTCGGATGACTATTAATAACTTTAAATGATCTTTGGTTTAATCAAGAACGTCAAGCTCTTGCTAATTATAAATGGTTAAACCATGTCATTTTGGATTTTTTTTTAAGTTAACCCGACTTGAAACTTCCTTTCGCTCGCCTGTTTATTTTGGCCCTAGGGCGTTGAGAAACTTAAAACCCAAGATGCGCGATCTATAAAAGAAACACTATTTTTCTCTTTGTCTTTCTCTCTTTCTCTCTCGTTTGCTTAATGTCTTCCCACACTGTACACGATATGATCACCCAACCACCCACCACCAACCACACGTAGATCGCGCTCCGGTGAGAGTGGCAGTGGTCACCACCATGCCCATCACCACCACCACCATCACCCCACCCACCACAATAGCCATCACCAACAAAACCCGCAGCAGCAGCAGCAGCAACATTTACACCAACAGCAACCACAGAGCGCGTCATCACAGCAGCCCCATGCGCTGCACTCCTCCAACAACTCCTCCTCCTCCTCGTCCTCCACTTCCGCTTCCAACTCCTCGTCCTCCATGTCGGGTGGCACTGCCGCAGCCACATCCTCCTCCAATTCCAAAGGTCCCTCGAGATCGGGCAAAAAGCGGGGAGCTGCACAAAGCATAAAGAACGAAGCCACTTCGGTGGCGACAACAACGGCAACATCAGCAATAGCTGCTGCCACACCAGCCGAGAAGCAGAGTCGCCACAGTTCGCCCCACTACAGTGCCACGCCCACCCCGCCACCGTCGTCGGCGGCACAACCAGTGGTCTCCTCGCCGGTGGTCATGTTGCAATCTCTGTCCTCGTCCCCGGTCGATTCCCCGCCAGCCGCAGTGTCTGCCGCCACTGCAACTAGTCGCAGCACGCGCAACAACAACAGCAGCAGCAGCAACAGCCACAGCAACACCAACCACAATGGCGAGCAAACGTCATCGTCCTGTTCGTCCACTTCGTCCTCCTCGTCGAGTGGTGGATCCAGTGGTGTTACCAATGTGGTTAATCTGCTGGATTCGCCGGTTAATATGTCCGCATCGGGAAGCTACCGCGCCAGCGGCAATTCCACCGGCAACATGTTGCCGACAGGCAGCAGTAACAACAACAACAGCAGCAGCAACCAAGCTAAGCCCCTGAACAAAAAAATGCTGCGTGCGCAGCAAACACAGTTGTATCAGCAGCAACAGCAACAACAGCAGCAGCAACAACAGCAGCAATATGCACCCCCCGCTAGAACCAACTCCCCCACAAATCTAAGCTCTACCTCTGCCTCAGCCTCCGCCTCCAATTCCGCTAGCTTTACGCACTTGCAACAGCAGCAACAGCAGCAACAACAGCCACAGCAGCAACATGAAGATCTAGAGATTTTGCAATTCACTAATACGAATACCACTCCCTCTTCCAATACGGCCACTTCGAAACCCAACAACAGAACGCCCGATGTCAGCCAGGCCAGCAGCTCATCGTCGTCAGCATCCGCAGTGCCCGCAACAACAACTCCTTTGGTCGTGCTGAGCAACCAGCTGCCACTTAGCTCGATGGCAGGTGGCGGCTCTGCCGGCGGCCTCAAGTTCACCTACGAGAGTCAGACGCAGCTGGATGTGCCCATGATGCCAGTGAGCGCCATAAAGGACTCGCCACCCAGCTCTCCCGGCTCCGAGATTGGATCGGCCATGCACACGGTAACGGCAGCAGCAGCCAGTTCCCTGACTGCCGCTGCTCCCACATCTGCCGCTGCTGCTGCTCAGCCCGGTAACGTCCGCAAGCGCGGTCGCAAAGCGAAGGATTCAACGATAGCATCAGCAACAGCAGCAGCAGCAGCGGCGGCGTCATCAGCTGCAGCTGCAGCAGCAGCGGCTGTGACCAATGTTCAACAGGATCTCAAGGACGTGCGCATACTGCAGAATGGGGCAGCCAGTGGCTCGAGCAATCCAGCCAGCAGCACGCCCACGCCTCCGGCCACGCCCGCCGCCGCGTCGGCCAGCTCGATTATCACGCACACGGCCGCCCACATGCTGGGCAACCAGATCAATCCGAACAGCAGCGTGGCCCAGAAGCTCTCCGAGCAGCTGCACATGGAGGTGCAGGACCACTCGATATACACGTCCGACTCCATGAACTCGCAGTACGCCGGAGTGCCGTTCCCCGGAAAGCAAGTAAGCATCAAAGTGCATTTGAAAAATGTTTGAGAGGGTCTTCTACTCTCGAGCCGAGAAATTGAGTGGTTATTTGGGGAATTTATTACAAAAGTTTTACTGCATTGGTTTAAAGGGTTTTTTTTATATTAAGATATGTACATGTTTTGACTTGTAAATTTTGTTTTGAAACTTGAAAAAACGAATTTTCCAGAACTTTGGAATGTGCTTTTCATAACACATGTAAAAACTGCAGTGGTCCCGATTGATAAGAAATGCAAAAAATGTTGTTCTTTATTATTTTTTTATTTTGCATTAAGCAAAAGTTATGCAACAATAAGTGAACAATTCATTCTTTTTTTACTTATTAGGGGCTATACAAACGAAATAAAAAAATATCGAAAATCGTACTCGGCTAAACATGCATAGCTGTATGTTTTGTCATAAATTGCAAAAAAAAATTTATTAAAATCAGACTAGTTCTTCTATTAAAAGTATTACTCGGCAGCTAAAAAAAAAACAAATCTTTCGGGATAAAGCCCTTAAAGGTAAATTACGGTTTATAACTTGGCTGAAATAGGTGCCTAACATGCGTAAAAATAGTATTTAGACACATAAAGATTAAAATTATGTGTAGAAAAAAACAATTTTTTAAAACGGCGAGAGTAGGAGACCCCCTGAAAGCATTTAGTGATTCTTACTTACTTACTTTAAAGAAGTTACTCATTTTTTTTTAAGAACAACATTTTAGATGTATTTTGACAGTGGTGTTTATTGATGTTTTAATGTTTGTTTAAAAGAAACGAAACTCAAATTGCTGTTTTTGGCTAATTCTCGTTTTAATTTGGAATAAACTCGAGTCGCAACCATAGATAATAAAAAAGGTAGATTGATGTATAAAACAAGCTAAAAGATTTCCTGTTTCTTTGCTCACAGCGCAACTCCAGTGCCGCCTCCTGCAACGCCACGCCAGCTCCGAATCCGCTCCAGTCGATGTTCAGCGGTGGCGGCATCAACGGCAACATGCCCATTCCCCAGAGTCTGGAGCAGCTGCTCGAGCGCCAGTGGGAGCAGGGCTCGCAGTTTCTCATGGAGCAGGCGCAGCACTTTGACAGTGAGTATGAGTCGCATATCGGCAGCTGAAGGCGAGTCCCTAAAAACTAACGCCAAACATTTATGTTGCAGTTGCCTCGCTGCTCAACTGCCTGCACCAGTTGCAGAGCGAGAACCTCCGGCTGGAGGAGCATGTGACCAGTCTGATAGCACGACGCGATCACCTGCTGGCGGTCAATGCGCGCCTGCAGATCCCGCTTAACACCATTGCCAGCAATGCCAAGGCCGAGGCGCACGGTAAGTAGAGAAGGCGCCTGTTCTCTCTTGTACTTGGTGTCGGCACTTGCTCTCGCTACCAGCACGTGGCACTGGAGGAGCCACACATCCCACTCACACAGCCACAGTCACAGCCACTGCTCAGACCAAATTTTGAGTTAAATCTTTTGTACTTTCGTTTCTTTGTTTGGTATTCTTTGTACATACAATTGGCATTTGAGAATAGTTCGTGACGTAGTCTTAAATAGCTTAAGTTAAGTTAACAACTAAACTGGTGGTCGTGTTTACAAACGAGAATATGTACATAATATACAAAACCCAAACCCACTTTCCGTCAAAAGAACTACTGTTTAACAAACAGAAGCAGTGAGCAGTGAGAGTTTATCATTGCATTCATCGACCATATTGACAACTCATATACCATTTTGTTAAAAAATGGAATGCCTCTCTATTTTTATCTTCAGTCCATCCCCCGGCTAGAATTTTGTACCTTTAATTAAACTTTTAAGTTAGTTATACATATGTATTTACGACCGAATACAAAACCTAATTATACTTACTCTTGTAACGAGAAATGATTTCCTTGGCCGAGTTAATAGATAAGTTCTTTCAATATCCTAAACGCTAATCTTTTTCGATTTTATTTATTTAAAAAATGAATAAAATGTTTAATATATTAAACACAAAAAACAAACACAAATTCTAAATTTATTTAAGTTATCATTGTTTGCACCTCGCGTTTTCCAAGACAGCACTGCCAAAAAGCCCCAGGCTAAGAGCTGTACTTTTAGTTACACTTAAGTTTGTTGTTGCGTTGCTGTCTGTTGCATGCAGTGAAGAGAAACGCAAACACCCGCACACGTCTTTGAACACATCCCGACCACACCCATTCACAAATTACCAACTAATACCGCACAAAACACACACAAATTTCGTGGAGATGGAAAACAACAACAACGGGGTACTCACAATCTAACCAAAAATGCTTACAGCCGCCATACCAACAACGGCAGCTCCAGCAACCACAACAACAACCTCAACAACAACAGCAACATCAACTTGTACAACTTCTGTCATTTCCACACTAGCTTCCAGCAGCAGCAACAGCAACAGCGGCAGCAGCAGCAACAGCAGCAGTATAGGACTCGGCAGCAACATGAGTGCCCTTAATGCGGCAACAACAATCGCAGCCGCTGTTTCGCTGGCAACCACTGCCATTAACACCACCATCCCCACCATGGCCAACAGTCGACCCACAGTGGCACCAGCCAGTTCCAGCGGAGTGGTGCTGGACTATCGCGGCCCAGGCACCGCCAGCAACAACAACAACAACAGCAGCAACAGCAGCAGCACCAGCAATAGCACCAGTGGCAGCAACACAGCCAGCAACAATGTGAACAGCAACAACGGCAACTCTGCAACGACAACAACACCGATGTCCATCTCAGGCATAAATATGACCAACGCAGCCAACTTGGGAATGAGGTGAGTATTTAGTTGCACTCGAAAATGTTGCATTTGTTGTTTATTTGGAATATGATATTTAATAAATAAGGTTTTATGTTAATAACATAACTTTCACAAAAGTATCTCAGCATACAATTTGAGGATAAGGACTTATTTTCAAAGTTTCACATCAATAACGAGAGCAAATACTAAATAAATAGTGACACCTTTCCAACCAAACATATAAAATATGTTATTTACCATGTTTTAACGGGCCGAAACTAAGCATTTATTCAATAGATATTTGGGAAAAGTCTTAAACTGGAACCAAAAGCCACATAAGTAAGCACTGGTGACATATCTATTGATAAATCGAAGGAATTTAAATACAAAATTACTATTTTTAATCATTTTTAAAGTGCGTAAAAATCAAAGAAGTCCAAAATCATTCGTCGCAACAATTGTAACTGAATAAGTGTAAAAAATTGACAGAATATCATAACTTTCTAAATTTGAGTATCCAACGGTTTAAAAAAAAATAGTTTCGAGAACTGAAACACTTCAGAGTTAATGGTTTAAAGGGCTAGGGCAAAGCCTTTATATCCGATAATATTGATCATAGACCTAAAGTTTTGGGCCAAAGAATTGACTATGTTTCATTAATAGGGGTGAGGAGTTTCGACAAAGATATATAAAAAGTTCATATATTTTATTTTTTTTTTTTAATTATCCCTTAACATTTAATATAATTTCTTAAATTAATATATATTGCTTGCTCAATATTTATAGGCACGTGTCTGCCGCCCACGCGTACAACAGTGCTGGAAGCAACAGCAGCATTGGAAGCTTGAATGCCAACAGCGCCGTCAACAGCAACAGCTTGCACCACCAACATCCGTCGCACCAGCAGCAGCAACAGGCGCAACACCAGCAGCAGCAACAGCAGCAACAACAGCAACAGCACGCGCAACAAGTGCAGCAGCACCTTCACCAGTCGCACCACACCAGCGCAGCTGTGGCAGCCGCCCACATGCTGGGCGTGGGAATAAGCCTGGGCGCTGGAGGTGGTGCTGCCGCCGGCATTGGACGAGGTGGGTCAGCGACAGCCATGGCTGCAACAGCAGCAACAACCACAACTACTTTTACGGCCACAGCGGGCACGGTCACGGGCACAGGCACGGGCACGGGCATGGGTCAGCAGCACCAGCACCAGCACCACCACCCACACCCACACCAACATCCTAGCATTCAGATTCAAGTGGGTGGCGGCGGCGTTGGCGTTGACGGTTTAAGTAGCACCTCCTCCTCCTATGCGGCGCACCACGCGGCGCTCTACAGCACGCATCACCAGGTAGTAGAGTGCGTGCCAGCGAGTTCCTGTGTGTGTGTGTGTCAGTGTGTGTGTGTGTGTGTGTGTCAGTGTCAGTTTGATTGTGGGTGCATGTCCTTGCCACATGAGAATCCATAATTCATAAACCATACGCCAATGCCTGTTATTCGTGCATTCACCTTTTCATTTTTGCGTCATGCGTCATGTTTCATCTACGCACCATACGCACCATACGTAACCCACCAGTCATTCGATCAGACAATCAATCGTAAAAGCCAAAGAAATTCCAACAAACACACACACATGTCACGACTTCTCGAATTCATCTGCTTTTGCGCCCATCTAGTTAATTGTAAATCATGGCTGTTGGCAGTTGAACTCAAAATTGTTTATTGTGTTTGTGTGCCAGGCTGAACGAAAAGATCAAGATATGTTATTTAAGCCTTACTGTTGCTCCCAGAAACTCCCAGTGTAGAATCATTGGCCCTTTGAAGTGCCTACTCATTCATGGTCTTTCCCTTTCAGTCCCAACTAAGGCGCGACGATAACCTCGCCAAAACCAGCTGAAAGTCGTACCGTGAGCCAGTCCTTCAGCAGCAGGGACAGCAGCAGCAGCAGCTGAAGAAGAAGCCATCGCCATCGACCAAACAAGACGGCCGTCATAACAGCAGCAGCAGCAGCAACGGTAGCAGCAACAAGCCGCCGCAGCAACACAACAACCACAGCAAATTGAAGACGGAAGAGCATGGCTTTCAGCAGCTGATCGACAAAAATGACGATGATGTAAGTGCTAGCATCTATAATAATTCTTGCTGTTGTATGATAATCAGAAGAAATCTCAAATTACAGCTCAGCAACAGCAGTTCTTCAACCTTTTCATCCTCCTCGCAGCAGCAGTCGTCGGTGGACTACGAGGCGGAGGACGAGAACGAGGACAAACAGCGAAGGCCATTGCACAAAAACGAGAACGACAGCCTACTGCATGTGCAGAATTTTCTAAAGTGCTTTGGACCCAATGCCTATGCATCGGCAGTCATGGCAAAGGCACCCACTTCGTCCATTCCGGACACACCGACCACCGCGACCAAAGCGACAAGTCTCAAGTCTCCGGGATTGGGAGAGCTGCGTGTCTGGCGGCAGAATTATCGCTCCGCAATCGGTACAGCTGAAGCAGCAACCACAACAGCAGCAACATCACAGACCCCAGCCGCAAATACAGCAATGTTTCAAGCCCAGTCAAGTGCAAGCCACAAACCAACCAAGTTTCAAATAAACACAAAGTTTTTACGTAAACCGCGCAACAAACTTCTGAAAATGCTGCCAACAGCAACGGCAACATCAGCGGCAGCAGTTTCCAAGCAACAGGAGCAACTGCAACAGGAGCAATTGCAACTGCAGCCGCAGCTGTTCAACGATGATTCCAACGCCAAATTCAAAGACTTTTCAATCGACTCGTTATTGAATAAGTAATCGTAATACATTAACGGACTAGAACGTACAGTTTAGCCTTATGATTTGTAGCATAATTAAACAGATTAGAAGCAGAGCCCAAGCCGCGTCGTTCCTAATTTCCCCATCCCCCAACAAAACCACCATGAATTTTGTTTAGCCAATCCGAGTAACCATAACATGAACATAGCAACAACTTATTCTAACTATAATTATGTTGTTTATTTATTACATGCATATTGTATAACGAATGGCGCAATTCATAACTAGCCTAAGATTGTAAATATCTACTTAAATACGAGATAATAAACCACAAAACCCATGTGCTAGAATTTAAGAAATGCTGTGTGATTTTCAGTTCTTCTCCGGTGGCAAAGAGGCTTCCAAGGCGGCGCGCACCCGCAACAGCATCTCGTTGCGAATGACCTCGGGAACCAAGGCACGAGCCTGTCTTCGATTTCGATGGAATGGATTAATATGTGCCGGAAAGAGTTCGACATCAACCTACGTGCGGTACTATCTCGGCAGCCAGTTGGTCGTGGGTCAGGTTAGCCACGCCGCGCTCCTTAATGGTCTGGCGTATCATTTCCTCGATATCCTTGCGCCAGCCGCACTCCGAAAGCCGCTTCTGCAGCAAATCCTTCAAGCTGTTGGGTTCACAGTAAACACATTTAGTACTTATTGCAATTAAACCTGTAAGATGACACTTACGCGACGCTATCGCGGTTGTTCAACTTGAAATCTTCAGCGGGATCAGCATCCGTCCCCGCCTCCTTGCGGTTTGCCATGTTCGTTTGTAAATGTTATTAACAATTTTTAGCGCGAGACGTTGGAATTTATTTGCTGTGATTTGTTGATGAACTAAAATGAACTGGCAACTGGTTTCGAATTGGATCAGCGAACAAGTGCTGCCAACTTGTGTTGAATGAAAGAAATAGAAAAGCTCGAAAAATGTTTGAAACAAATTTTAAAATAAACTTAAAAATTTTTGAAAATAAAAATTTTTAAATAAGATAGATGATAATTAAAATGAGGCAAAAATAGCTTAAATTATAATTTTGTTAGTTTTATTATATACAATTTTTTTTTTTATTTTAAAATATTTATTTTTATTATTTGGTCAAGCTTTTCTTAGTTTTCTTTGTTTTCATAAATTAAGTTCGTTCCGATCAGGGCAGATAATTTTTAGGCACTTCTTCGCAAACCTTATCTGCATATTTAAATACAAATTAGTACTGACATTGAAACTTTTACCGTATTAATATAATTCTGTTGGTCGTGCTCAGGTGCAACGAATTTTGCATTTTTTTTAAAATTTAATTTTAATTTTTTAGTAATACATCGCCGCATTTTTATTATACTGCTTTGGCATTTCGGAAAAACGCTGAATTTTCACGAAATTTTCAAATTGTCCTCGCAGCGGGCCTTCAAAAACAACCAGATTTTAAGGGAAAATTCACAAAAATGTATTGTATTAACAGTCGATATTAGTGTTAAACCATTTTACCTTTGATCATCAGCAATAATAGATAGTTATATAATTAGAAATATTTTTTTTATTCGAAACGCTACAATACCGATACCCGCAAACCACACTCAACTCATCGATAGAATCTGGAAAAAATCGATGTCCAAACATGGAAAAAAGGCGTAAATCGAAATCGCTAATCAATATTTTATTCCATCTCTAAATATTTATGTTTTTTGTTTTGATTTGTAAAAAATTCAGCAATGGATTTGCTGAGAGAGTTCGACATAAAGCATGAGTTCGATGGCCTGGAACAGGAGCAGGTTGGTATAATAGAAGCGCCAGTACCATTGCTGCACATGGATTACGGGCACTTATAGAGTTACAGGCTTCTTCGTTAAAGCCTGCAACTGCAGCAGTCTGCATATTGATTTGAAATGACGCATCCTTGCAGTATCCGCCGGTTTCCCGTTCGCGTTGCGTCACTCCGGATTTGACGACTCCGGCCACCTATGCCCACATCGCCGACCTCAAGCGGCGGCTATCCGCCGGGCAGTACACTCTGCGGGACAAGCGCGGGCGGAGTAAGGTGTGGCAGCTATTCGCCGTGATTGTGGACGAAAACGGTGAAGACATCGAGAACTTTGTGGCCTGCCGCAACTGCTACAATGTCCACAGGTTCCAGATGAGCACCTCCAACCTGATGAAGCACAAGTGCGCCTTGAGGCTAGAGGCTCAGGCCCGCGTCTCGGAGGCCAAGTCCGTTCCGGATCTTCACCTGGATGAGGAAACGCTGAAGAAGATCCTGGGTGCTGTCACTGCCTGGTCCGTGCACAATTGCCGGCCACCGAGCATACTTGAAGATTCCGGGTTCGTGAACCTGGTGCGGGTCCTCCTGAACGTGGGTGCCACATATGGCGAGAATGTTAAGATCGGGGAACTTCTACCGCAGCCAATAGCCGTGGCCCGTAACATATCCGAAATATACGAAAGACGCCAGACGAGTTTGCTCGAGGAGCTGAAGCCGATCCTAGCCGTCGGCTACAGCCTGGGCATGTTCCTGTACACCGATAAGTTTCTGGAGCGCCACGCCGTCCTCACCATGCACTACATACACGAATCCGGTGTGATCAATCGCTTGCTAAGCGTGTCCGCCATCGGCAGGGACACCCCTACTGGAAGTAAGATTTCTTGCAAAAGACCTTCAAGTATCGCGAGGAAGTTACCGCTTGCGTATAACAGAGCCCTTCAAGACTCAAGTCTGAATCCTATATAATCTTTAGAAACAGTTCATCCCGAGTAGTTTACTAATAACAGCATAAAGTTCGGATTAAGATTATGATCTAGAGGGTATTATAATTTTAGTCACAAGCTTGCAACGCAGTGAAGGAGACATTTCAGGCCATATAAAATATATTTAATATACCATACAAACTAGTTTCTAAGCTATCTACATGTAACTTTCCCAAAAACGTTGTTTTTATTGTTAATAGTATATTTCGCTTTTATTTTTATTAAAATCCGAAAACTTTATTATTTAGCTGCCATAGAACGATCAAATATTTGAGCTGAAAAGCATTATAGCTTAAACGTTTTTAAACATATTCGCATACAAATCGAAATTTAGCCGTTTTGAAGAATATTTAATTTTTCACAACTTGAATATTAAATCCCAAATCTCTTCTTATACTCTTTGACTCTTCGAGTAATCAAATCTGACCATTATTTAAGAAGTTTAGAAGATTATTTGTAAAATTTCTGCACAGGTCGTCATCTAAAACCCTATTATTTGTAGGGTGCACATTTTATATTTTGAAATTGGTTAGCTAAGAACCGGATATTAAATAGCCAGTGTTGAGTTGTACCTAGATACTTCTACAATACAATTTGTTATTATAAGTTATTTCCACCATATACAATATAATATACAATATATGTCAACCAGTCTTAAGTGCTAGAGCATATACAAAATATTACAGTTCAATAACAAGTTCGAGAAAAACGTTAAGACTTCAAAATTATTCATTTATAAAAAATTTTAAATAAGAGATGATACCATGCCTAGATACTTGGAAAATTGTGTATATTTTACCACAATTAAGTACTTACTTTCGAAAATTCCTTGTACTTTAGCTAAATCCAAAAAAAGTAGCACTTTTCCCAACACTGCTATAGTACGTCTTAGTGGTTTCTTCTTCTAAGAGTTAGAGCCAGTAAAACACAGTCATCCTTGAAAAATCGGAATATTCCTCAAATAAGGATAAAGATTTTTGTGTATTATTTTAATTTCTATTTAATGAAAAGCCAAAATTACTTACTTTTTCTTAATCTATATTGTAGACTAAAACTTTCCGCAAAACATTTTTCTATTTTTAGACAAATCTTTACGTCACGTGTTAAATACAACTCTTCAAAAGTTTAACTGCACACTAAACAGTGACTCTGCAGTAGTTGTTACGGAAAATGATGCGAGTCTCACAGCTGCCTTTGTGGATCAGCAACACGTCCCGTGCATCAACACACAGCTGAACGAAGCGATAGACAAGGTTTTTAGTGAGACACCAGAACTGCAATACTTATACCAAAAATGTGACGAGTATTTCAAAGCTTGTCACAGTTCAAGATCGACATATAACAAACCATTAGACAGAATAATCGGAGCCTTTAAGGATGTGTATCAACATTGGGGTACGGTTTCGATGGCCCTTTCAGTGCAAGATAGTGAAATCATCACTTTAACTACTGTAATAGCCATAGTTCGTATCCTAACCAACATTGAAAACTCGTCAAAGGAGCTGGAAGCTCTTTCCGAGCCAACACTGCACCTGGTGATCCCACATTTGCGAAAGCTTCGAAAATTATGTGCCGAAGTCGCAACTGAAGAAGTAGCAGCGGAGTCGTGCTTAAAGATGTCGTTGAAACCACACCTGGAGTCTATTGCTCAGAGTTCAATTACGAAGCACCACAAAATAGCTCTGTTCCTGTTTCCACCCACCAACAGACTACTACTTTTTGAGGACTCCGAAAAACAGGCTATTATAGACGATTGTAAGGCAATGATGGAGTCCTTTTATGTGGAGTCCGACAGCCAGAAAAAGAGACTCAAGTCTGACAGTGAGTACAATGGGATATTCGAGGATTTCATCACACCCCGTTCGAATGACACCAAAACCGACATAATTAACCACGAAATCAACGGATATTTGAGTATGCAAGTAGTGCTAAAGCCCGATTTCAATTTGCTCCATTGGTGGAAAGACAACGAATGCCTGTTTCCATTACTTTACAAAGTCAGCTGCAAAACATTCTCAACTCCAGCCAGTATCGCGTTCGCACGAAATATGTTGCTACAAGCCCGGAGTCTGATCAGCGATTCATCAAGTTGGCTTGAAGGTGGCGATCGAGTTGTGGACGAAATTATGTTTCTAAACAATAATCTTAAAATTGTTTAATATGTTTTAAGCTTAGTTTTTTTTTGTTAAAAGTATTATGTTTTAATACAGAATTTAAAATCGGACTAAAATTGTTGTATAACAGGATATTGGTTTAAGTCTTATAATTTAGGGTATTTTTATGTAATTATTTATTTTAATTCTTGTCTGTACAGTGTAAATTAATATATAAAAACCTTTGTATATAAACAAGAAAGAACAATGATTTATTAACTTAGTGCCGCGACGCGTCAAAAAAATAAAATTGCTCACCGCCTCTTATCTTACAATGTTTGTTATTTTCCTTTGTTTTATTAGGTTAGACCTTATACTACTGTGGGCAAAAAATAAGTTGTTTATAAAATGAAAACTATTTATTTATTCTTCTACATCAATTTCATTTCCTTTCAAAACCAGTTCCCCGGAGTACGTATATTAACTTATTTAAAGCGCTGCCGACAATGTTGGTATCGGAAGAAAGGCGAAGAAAATATTATTATTTTAAGTACTTATTGTTTTCAATAAGAGTTAAAGTTTTCAATAAAAAAAACTTTTGTTAATAACCAAATAGTGTTGGTAATTATAAATTATTTCACAAGATTGCCAGAATCTAAGTCCTAAAAGTAATGTTTTGTATTTTTTAAAGGGTCAACAAATAAGCCTATAAAACAAATTTTATTAGTCAGACCCAAAATGGGTGACTGTGAGCACTGAGCGGAAATACTGCGTATATCCATACGGTTTCTGTCAAGATAATGGTTGCTGCTGAAATGGTATAAAGCGACCAACCAAATGTTAAAAACAGCCATAAGATGTAGTCGTATCGGCTAGTTTTTAACATCCCCAATGTACAAATAAATAGATAATACAAAGTAATAATAGCATTCTTGAAATAACTGAAAGCAAGCTAATTAGACAACTCTGCTGGAAAACAGGTTGGCAGCGTCAAAATGTATATGTCAAATCAAGTGTAGAATTATTCATGCACATGTAAGGAATATTTTGACATTTTATCTACGCTAAGGTAGAATCGGAAACTACATATATATGTATGTATAACTTAATGTATGGAAAAGGAACAAAAAATTTGACTAAAATTTTCCTTTTGCATATTTAGTAATTTTAGATATATTTTACATTCTTCAGAAATCGAAAGGAATTCAAGTAAGTACATTAATCATACATAGTTATTTTGTAAATCCACTTTTAGTGCTGTGTATTTCCGAAGTTTCCCTTATTGATCAAACATTTTTATAAACAAAACCATTTAAGCGTATTGAACACTCATGAATCGGAGCTTGATTGTGGGTATGTGGGCTTGTTGGCCATAACACCACCCACTCAGTCCGCCCACAGCCGCTTGAAAATTGTCTCTCTGAGTCGCCTGAGTGTCGTCATCATAAAAATGCGTTGGCTTCATACCCAAATACAGGCATGCAGCTATACAAATCTTTTTGTAGCTGGCTCTGATATTATAAAGCCAGCTGTTTTTATTTTTCGCTTAAAAATCTATGTTTTTATGCGAAATTTTTTAAAACTTGTGTTAAGTCTAAAGTATTAAGTAAACTTTATGTCTAACCTAGTTCGAGGTCAATATACACCCATTTCTTGGGACATCAGTAGTAAATAACGGCATACATACATACATACATACATAACCTCAATGACGTTGCCGGTCGTTTTATGCATTTATTGCTGTTATTGTATGTACATATGTAAATGCATGTACCTAATTTTAGGCCAAATGGGCCTCCTGCCTGCATTTCCTGCCTTTTCGTTTTGGGTTTTTTTCTGGAAATTCGATAGCAGCTGCAGCAGCTGCCTTTTCGGTCTGTTCCTCAAAATACCGCATTGGGCGCAGGCAGAGAAGGCGGCTTATACCACACAACAACAAGCCGGTTTACCTAGGCTTCAATTTCGTTTTAGGCAAACCAACCCCAACGACAGTACAAAGTACATATGTATGTATGTATATATGTACATATGTAAGTTTGCGCAATAGCGGGCACTTCTTTAGAGCTTTAAACTCTCGACTTACCATTTGCATCCCCATCTAGCCACACCCTTATATGTATACATATATAACTCTTAATACGATAAATCGGGCTGAATAATATAACAAACAAAAAATTTATAACCATAGCAAAAATAATCTTGTTATCTTATAAAACATTATAGCAAATCTTTTTTGAAAAAAAAAAAAATTTTAAATATTCAAATTAATTTTATTACTTATGAAGAACGTTATTAAATGTTTTTCTACTAATATAGAACTACTGTAAACTAGGTTGAAAAAATAACTTGCCTTGCTATTATCGTGAACTCCCCTGTAATCAAGTACATACACAAGCTCGCATTCGCAGTGGCATGTTTGTCGTCAGTTAAGAAATGAAGTCATCATTTCGCCGAGTTGGCATTGCTATACATAGCAGCGATTATGCTGTAGCTTCAAAAGGAATGACTCATCGTCCCAGAGAATCAATACCAGAAATGTGGAAAGCCAAGTGCATGCCACACGGCCTGGTACAGTCGGCACTTGCCACAAGCAGCGAAAAACGAAAAAGCGCAGCAGCACCGGCCCGAACCGGTGGAAAATAGAAAGCGCTAATTATAGAGAGAGCGGCTGCTCTGCTTTCCCGCAGTAAAAACTTCGTTCGATGACCCCTTTCACGCTGGAATGATGATCGCTGGGGAAGGAAAATTGAAGAAAAACAATCTGGGGTTTTCTTTTTTGCTGTCAACACTTGTCTGGCCGATTTTATTCTTGTACACAACTTATCGCCGAGTTAGCTTGGCTTTTCTGCTATACGTGTCTTTGTGGATAAAATACTATCTGGTTCTTCCCTTCTCTTTTTTTTTTCATTCTCGTACGCTTAACAGTGTTGCAGTGAATTTTTTGTTGCGATTGGAAGCGTGAACACTGATTTCGACGGTTGACCCGCCCACCAATGACACTCCCCCCGAGCGTTGGAGTGGCGCCACGCTTAGTACTCCTCAGCACCCTCGCCCTCGCCGTCTCCGGAGTCCATGCCAACCTCCTCGTAGTCCTTCTCCAGGGCAGCCAAATCCTCGCGGGCCTCGGAGAACTCTCCCTCCTCCATACCCTCACCGACGTACCAGTGGACAAAGGCGCGCTTGGCGTACATCAGATCGAACTTGTGATCCAGACGGGCCCAGGCCTCGGCGATGGCCGTGGTGTTGGACAACATGCACACGGCACGCTGCACCTTGGCCAGATCTCCGCCAGGCACCACGGTGGGTGGCTGGTAGTTGATGCCAACCTTGAAGCCAGTGGGGCACCAGTCCACGAACTGGATGGTGCGCTTGGTCTTGATGGTGGCAATGGCGGCGTTCACGTCCTTGGGCACCACATCACCACGGTACAGCATGCAGCAGGCCATGTACTTGCCGTGACGGGGATCGCACTTGACCATCTGGTTGGCCGGCTCGAAGCAGGCGTTGGTGATTTCGGCCACCGACAGCTGCTCGTGGTAGGCCTTCTCGGCGGAGATGACCGGAGCGTATGTCACCAGCGGGAAGTGGATACGGGGGTAGGGCACCAAGTTGGTCTGGAACTCGGTCAGATCCACGTTCAGGGCACCATCGAATCGCAGAGAGGCGGTGATCGAGGACACAATCTGGCCAATCAAACGGTTCAGGTTGGTGTACGTGGGCCGCTCAATGTCCAAGTTGCGGCGGCAGATGTCATAGATAGCCTCGTTGTCGACCATGAAGGCGCAGTCGGAGTGCTCCAGGGTGGTGTGCGTGGTCAGGATCGAGTTGTAGGGCTCCACTACAGCGGTGGACACCTGGGGCGCCGGGTAGATGGCGAACTCCAGCTTGGACTTCTTGCCGTAGTCCACGGAGAGACGCTCCATCAGCAGCGAGGTGAAGCCGGAGCCAGTACCTCCACCGAAGGAGTGGAAGATCAGGAAACCCTGCAGACCGGTGCACTGATCGGCCAGCTTGCGGATCCTGTCCAGAACCAGGTCGACGATCTCCTTGCCGATGGTGTAGTGACCACGGGCGTAGTTGTTGGCCGCGTCCTCCTTGCCGGTGATCAGTTGCTCCGGGTGGAACAGCTGGCGGTAGGTGCCGGTACGGACCTCGTCCACCACAGTGGGCTCCAGATCCACGAACACGGCGCGGGGCACGTGCTTGCCGGCTCCAGTCTCGCTGAAGAAGGTGTTGAACGAGTCATCGCCACCGCCCACGGTCTTGTCGGAGGGCATCTGGCCATCGGGCTGGATGCCGTGCTCCAGGCAGTACAGCTCCCAGCAGGCGTTACCAATCTGGACACCAGCCTGGCCGACATGGATAGAGATACATTCACGCTGTGGGCGGAAGGGAGGGAGAAAAGAGATGATTAATTCCACGCCCAAGAAAATCGATTGCCGCAGAACCGCGCCCAGCTTAAGCTGGCCCCTATGTACGTGCGAGCGAGACAGCTAATATGGTATACAGATTTTTTCCTTTTCTGCCGTACTTTGCCGGCGCCGGAATTTCACTGTCGCCATTTTCTCTTTAATAACCTAAGTATGTAAGTGTGCATGTACTTATGAGTCAGAAAGTGACGCTAAAAAAAATATGTTCATTTACTATTCTTATTTAGTAGGTAATTTGGAAGAAAAAACAGTCGCGATTTACGCCCCATTTCTTTAACTTTCTTTTCTCTTTGCGAATAAAAAACATGACGTCATCACTTTTCGACAAAAAAAATACAAAAACCGGCCGCCATTTTGCCGAAAAGCCGCAGTGCTCGCCCATTAAATTTAGCCGACAATACTTTTCACGCGAATGCCCACTTGAATTTGCTGCGGTACTCACCATATTGAGAGTTTATTGTATGTTTTTCACACGCGACAGGAAAATTCACAGAAATGTGTAGAGCTACGATTTAGGTCCGACTCGGAGAGCGAATACGTTCGAATTGCCGGTTATGAGGCTTGACAAACGTAAAACGGATATGGAATTTCGGGCGCGGGCTGCTTTATATAGGTGCTGGGGCTAGAGGTGTGCGTTTGGAGTGGAGAAAAATCGATGCCAGCATCGATATTTCAAAACATCGGTCTTATCGAAGTGCTTCCATCTCTACTCCCTGCTCTCTCGTCATGTTAAATCATCGTTATCTTAACATTGCACTCTGGGCCAGCAGGCACGAGTTTTAAAATAAGGTTTTTTTTTTGAGAAAATTAATAAATAAAATAATGGGCCCTTTTTAATAAACATTAAGTTAATTTATGCCAACATTTCAAAGAATTTCACTGAATGGATTTTTTTTTGCATATTCTTAAAGATTCAATTTCATGCAAAATTTAATAAAAAATTAAATAATCTAGTGAAAAGAGTGATGAGTGATGAATACTTAGCTGATCGAATTTCTTGTGGAGTCATTGAAAATGATTAAAATGTCAAGTTAAAAATGTAATTCAAGTGGATTTCTTACTTATTTATAAGCTTTAAAAAATTATGATTTTTTCGTAATGGGATACGTTGCTTTAGAATTCGGGTATCCTCGGTAAATGAAGTGATTCCTTTAAAAATAATTTATTTGATTAATTAAGTACGATTTCGCGCGGTTTTGCTTTAGCTTTCGAGAATCGCGGTTTTAAGTATGAGCTTAATTTGAAAGAAAGGCAGTTTTGAATGTTTTATGCAGCCCACTGAAGCCCAAAGAATGCTGCATCTTCACATACTCATAAAATACCTGGTGGAAAACATATAATATATACACTGAAAAGACATTTGGTGTCATCATAAAGCATTTTAAATATTAAAAAATTATAAACTTTAGATGATGCAGATGCAAAGAAGAAACAAACAAAATAAAAAGAAATGTTTGTTGGTACGATTATTTTACTAATATTGGCACCTAGGGCACCAAAAGATGGCATTTTGAAAAGTTGAAAAATATTAAACCACTTAATATATATGAATGGGTTACATATTTTTGTATTTTTTTGTATCTTATATTTTAAGTGAATTGAATCCGTTTCCTCCTCCTATTTTAGAAATAAAATATGCAAAAATTAGAAATATTTTCCGGCTTTGAATTAAATTAACTTTATCTTTTGAAAATGTTTAACATTTTATTGCTTTATTTCAGCTTCCTAGCTGTACAGGGAAATAAATGCCAGATTTTTCTCCAAAAAATTAGATTTCTGACCCAGTGTGCTTTGAGAGGAGAGAGTAGAGATGCCTTTGGGTGCCTTTTGAAATGGAGAATCATCGATGCCATTATCGATGCCTACATGTTTTCAAAACATCGGTGAATTAACATTTCGATGGAAATGTTAGGATGTTTGGCGGGGCAATCGGTGTCATCGATGTTTTCCACCTCTACTCTGCTTTCCTCTGCCGCAGTGCTGCCCACTCAAATCTGTTAGGAAAAAGACGATATAACATTGCCGTTACAAAAACGACAATTTATTATTATTATTATTATTATTATTGTAATTAAAAACACTTGAATTTTGCTTTCAATTTTATTAATATTTAACATTAATATAAATTTAAATTAGTAGATTTGTTAGGCTTAATTTGTATTTTTGGGCGCTGAGTGGGTGATGGAGAAACTAAGAATAAAAATAATTTTGGGTATTCCTTAAACGACTGAATCTCAGAATTGCTGAAAATTCAGCAGGAAATGGCAAAACAAAGATCGGACGTTATTCTAAAGATGCCATAAGTATGGGGTTTTTTAAGTACACATTAAGTTTATTTATGCCAACATTTCAGAGAATTATGTTGCATAGATGTTTTTTGGCGTATTCTTAAAACATAACTTATCTTAATTTCTTATATATTTCATAAGAAATAAAGAGGACTTTAAGGGAATAAGGCATATAAATACTTTGCTTCACGAGTACTTTCGGGTAACCTCGTAAAAAAAAAGTGATTCCTTTAAAAAGTAAGTTCCTTGATCATTTTCTACTGATTTCACGCCGTTTTGCTTTTGTTTTAGAAAATCGCAGATTACTACCATTTCGATTTTGGAAAGAACTAAATTTGAAGGAAGAGTTTAAGAAGTCTAATGCAGCCCAAAAGTATGCTGAATCTCTTGTAAATTCTCATACGAGAACTAAAATACGTACACAAAAAATTTAGAAGGGCCGTATGATGTCATCATAAAGCAATTTAAATATTTAAAAAATAAACAAAGATGAAACAAAAAAAAAAACATGATTGTAAGAATCGCCTAGATATATAAATTAATAAGGAAATTGTAAGAAATAGAAATTGTTGAATGTTTAGTTATTAAATGTAATTGAATACATTTTATCATTCATTTTATCTTTATAAGCTTAACATATTTGCTTAAACATATCTAAAGCCATGTATGTTATATATTATATTATATATTATTTTCACTCGATTCGATCGGAGGTTCCCACACAGTTTTTTTCGCTTTATCACGGACTCAAATCATGAAGTTGAACTTGGCTAACCGAATCGGTTGTCATTACCATTTTCAAACGGTTAAACCAACAGATTAAATTGATAATATTCAAAAATAGAATTTTGAACTTGCTGCTGAACAACACAAAATCGTTTCAGTTCCTATAATGCACATGCACAATGGAATTTTAAAACTCAGTAACCAAGTATTGATCACAAGATTTTCGCGTAGTATCTTTGAAAAATCCAGCCGAGGTCACACTAGTCCTAGTCGCTGTTTCTGGTTATAATTAAAGTGTCTTCGTCTTCGTCTTGACGCTATCGAGCTTGAACTCATTGCCATTAATTGTTCGAAGACGAATAACCGAAACCATTTCCAGCATGCGAATCGAAGCAAATGACTCATTTTGGCTGGACAAGGCGGCCTGCAGCAGTGCAGAAAGACAGTACTACGAGTCGCTGAATCTGCAAAAAAGCGGTGTAAGTGAAAGCTGTTAGTACGTTTGTAAGCGCACAGGCGGTTTCCCAATAACCGTTTGAAAAGGCGGGAACTTTTGTGCCGTAAATGCCTGATCGTTGCAGTTTTATTTGTTTATATTAAACCAATGTCCCCGGCAAGAAATGTGTATGTTTGTAAACATAAATCGAAGTGTGCTTGTGATGCTTATTCATACAAACAGCCGGCAAGCTTCGTCGTTGGTGGCAACCCTACGCATATCAGCTGATTCGTAAATTCTCCCAACATTTGTAGTAGCCAAACAAAGGCCGAGTCCTAAACAATCAAGTTGCTAAAAATTCGCGTACTCTGTTAACGTTTCAGCTTCCTGGCCCCGCCCCATTGCCAGCGCCCACCCCGAAGCTGACCACATCCGCACCCGCAAAGAAGGCTAAGAAGAAAAACAAGGCGATGGCCGAGAAGGAGACGCCAAACAAACTTCTTTACGTGCGTACAGGTATAGTGCTCTGCCATTTCTGGTTAACACTTCCGTGCTTTTGCAGATGAATCCGCTGACCATGGAGGCCAACTTCTTCCTGGATACCCTGAACGAGGTAAACCAGAAAAACACTCCGCCCCAGCTGGATCCGTATCTGGCCAAGCTGCTGGAGCGCATTATGGTGGGCATCGAGGCGTACATGGACAGGAATCCCACCTACGTGCTGCCCCAGGAAACGGCAGCAGCGGGCGAGGGCGTGGCCTTTGTCCAGCCCAAGGAACTGCAGACCATCAACCGCACATTTAACTGCAGTGCCTGCCACAACCGGATCGTGGGCACCACCATTGCCAAGGCGGTGGCGCACCTGTCTGAGCAGCATCCCAATCCCAAACAGGAGAGGAAGCAGGCCCAGGTGAAGGCGCGTCAGCAGATGGTTGTGCAGCTGCCCAAGAGTAGGTTACCATTTCAGTATAGCACTATCCAAAAACTATCTATTCCAGGTCTAGTTTATGATTTCGAGAAATGTTTAAAAGCCGCTTTGAAAAAAGAACCTATAAATGTGCATACACTCAAACCGAATTTAATGGCAACATTTATGCAAATCAATCTTTGTTTAGAATTTAAGAATCTTTATAAATGCTAGCCAAAGCTCTTGGTTTTCCCTCCTCATTTATCTATTTGTATATTTCAGAGGCTAAGGCCATGATTGTGGGCGAGATCGCGAACGTGTTTAAAGACAAATACCCCATAGCCGATAAGTTGAAGGTAATTCCCGAGTACGACATTATCGAAAAGGATTTGCGCACACTTCTGACGCCAGGCTTTCCGAAGCAACAGTTGCGCATCTACAAGTTTGGCTCCCGAATCACCGGGATCGGGCAACGTTCATCCGACCTGGACGTGTTCGTCGACATCGGTGAGTTAATTGCGAAAACCAGAGACGAACTCTTTGTGACTTGTGTTTTGGATCGACAGGCAACACCTTTCATACGTTCGAACACCGAGCATCCAATACAACCATCAGCAAACTGCGGTCGATGCGCAAGTTCTTCTGCGGCAGTGACGACTGGCGCATTATTAATGTAAGGTATGCCCTAAGCAACAGGTCCATGGTTACCATTTGTACCTTCTTGAGTAGGTCATTGAGCAGGCCCGCGTTCCGATCATCAAGACCTGTCATTTGCCCACGGGCATCGAGTGCGACATTTGCCTGAACAGCTTGGGCTTCTGCAACACAAATCTGCTGAAATACATATTCGAATCGCAGCCACTGAGTAAGCAGAATCGATCAGACAAAGTCCACAAATTTTCTTTTTTTTTTTTTTTTTTTCGTTCTTTTTTTGCAGCTCAATATATGTGCATATATGTTAAGAACTGGCTGGAGCGCTGCAAGCTGACGGAGCAGATATCGACGTATAGCATTACTCTGATGGTCATCTACTTCTTACAGCTTCAGGGCCTGATACCGCCCATACAGGCTCTGCAAGTGGAGCACTCGCTTAAGTGCGGACGTAAGTTTATCTATGCCAATTTAGCGGGATTCCCCGAGTTAATTTCCCCTTCCAGCTTGGATCGTCAATTTCGCACAGAAATCGCCTAGTGAGCTGGGACTGTTGCAAGTGGAGGTGACTGTTCCGGTGGTTAAAGGCTATCTTAGATCCTTCTTCCTATACTATGGCCACTTTGACTACGAGCACTTCTTGGTCTGCCCATATTTTGGTGGGCCCGATATCGAGATACAGAAGGTAGAGAGTATGCTACCCACTAGGTAAGAATAACAATTTTTAAATGGATGACAAACTAAAACTTCTGGCTCTATAAAGGTTATATTGGCTAAGCTAAGCTTTTATGAGGCTTTTCTGTTTAATGCTATATGTACATCTAATCTATAAACATTAAATTGAATTATGCCTTATAGCCACTTCAAGACGAGTAAACCCAAGTAAAGCCAAGGCTCCCTCCTCAGTTGAAATACTACTATTTACTTCGTTACAATTTAATATATTCTGGCATTTAGGTACTCCTCATATGTGATGGAAAACCCCGACTGCTCGCTGCAACTTCGAAAACCGATGGTGGTCCAGGATCCCATACAGCTGAACCACAACGTGACCAAAGCGGTGACCCGATATGGACTGCAAGCCTTTGTGGACTACTGTGTGCAGACTGCTGGACTGCTGGAGGAGCCCTCGACCAATTGGCGCCAGCGCAGTTCATAAGCCCGAAGAGTGACCCGATTGAATCGTTCCCATCCCATCTGGTCTGTTAAGATTTCACTCTGCGTGTGCGAAAGACCACTTTTGGTTTTGTAACTGAATAATTAAGGGCGTTCATCACGTCTCGACAATATACATACAACACATAGTGTACACGTGACTTTTGTATATTTCACTAGCAAGCGTTTAAATTGTATAATTGGTTTTGGTTTCAATTGCATTGACACGTAATAAAGCGTCTTATGGCCAGAACTTGCACGGACTACATCTGCCAGGATTCGGGCAGCTTGTTGAACACCTTCAGCAGCAGATATATTGTGAAGCCCACGATTAGAAAGAGACCCAGGAAACTGATGCGATTGAGCCAGTGCTGCTTGGAGTCACGCATTAGATTGTAAATGGCCATGGCAGAGTGCTCCGCCTCCTCTACGCTGCCGTTGTTGTCGATGACGAAGTGGGACTTCTCGCACTTCTGCTCCAGCGGCATTTGCGAATCGACGCGATGCCGGGCATCGGATTCGGACAGCTCGTTGCGGGCAATCAATCGCTCCAGCTGCTTGTCCGAGTCGCTGCAACATCGAGAAGACATTAGTGCCAGTGGAAACTAGAATCTTGCATGAGTGGCTAAGGTTTGTAATTTATAGTAACAACTCTGATAATTGAGCTATTCAAGTGTTGGAGCTATTGTACACATGACATGGTGTGAACTTTATCTATTTTGAGCTTGATTAGTTTACAGAAATATCAGCTTGATCTATTTTGTTTATATGCGTTAAATCATCACTTATTGCCAACAGGCATGAAACTCCTTATTTTTGAAAACATAACTCAAAGGACCCTTTGACAACAATCATGCAGGAAACCCAAAAGTAAAGCGTACCAGGTCACACAGATGATCTTGTGTATAAAGTCGATCAGGACACCGGTTTCGAAGAGCAGTGGCAGGTCCAGGACGATCCACGAGTGCCCCGTAACCAGCAGTTTGCAAACCTGCCAGAAGATCTTGCGGTGAATGGTCGGATGGGTAATCTTGTTTAGTTTTCCGCGCAGCTCCTTGTCCTCGAAAATCATCTTTCCCAGAACGGCGCGATTTATCTCCTTGCTGGGCAGCAGGACGTCGTCGCCAAAAATCTCCCGTATCCGTTGCCAGCACGGCTGACCTGGTTCCACAACTACGCCAATAAATACAGATAATTACAGCAAATGGTCGTTAATTACGAAGCGGATGTGCTCCACATTTTACTCACTCTCTCTGGCGATTTTGTCGGCGTCGATTACTGGAATGCCCTGGCGCTTAAACACCTTGCTAATAGTGCTTTTTCCCGTGGCTACGCCACCAGTTACGGCCACAATAAACATTCTTTTAAAACAGTTCGAATTCTTAAGTTCTATGATAGGAATGTTCAAACACTTTTTTTTTACTATTAAAGTTACAGTGTGACCAAGCGGTTCGTTATAAAAAAACCGTTGCTTAAAATACCAGGAATTGCATTTACAGTTCGGAAAGTCTAATAGCCTGATTCCATTGCCGCATTAGTGGACTTTTTAAATGTGCCTGATTCCATTGGCGCATTAGCATTTAGTTAATGCTACTCCGACATGTGAGTGGCACGAACAGCTGATCTGGGCTTGTTTACTTTTGAATTTTAGCAAATCCAAAAGAAATTAATTAAAATTAATGAACATGAGTGAGTTTACTAAACTCTGTAATGCTCAGCAGGACATCCATATTGCGACCGAGACATTTGCCAACTTGAACGACAAAGAAGAGAAGCTGATTGCGTTGTTATGACGGGTTTGCAATGAAGGCCACCACAGTTTCTAAAAAAGGCAAGGATCCCCGTATATGTGGGAGTAATTTTATGCCAAAGATCCAGCAGTAAAGCATTGTGGTACTGCGAGCAGAATTTGCAGCGTGCGCTCTAGGTTTCAGTCATTTTTATACAAAATAGATTTTATATTCAAAAGACATCAAAAATTGCGCCAACCTTGCTTATAGAAAACAGCTGTTGTAGTGGTGGCACGAGCAAAATATCGTTAAACATCGGTATTTTCCAGTATTTTTTCTAAAAACTTTCGGGGCGAATGGTTTTTAATCGCATTTAAAAATCGCATTTATTTTAAATGCGGCATTTAGCCTTATGGGATTCCCTGTGTAAATAAATGCGCATTTGGCTAAATGCGTTTTAATGCGGCAATGGAATCAGGCTATAAGAACAATCAAATTTTTTTAATTGTTGTTCTTTAAATACAATTATTAAATATTTTCAAATGTGTTATAGTTGAAATAGTAAATATTATTATTGTTTATAAGACATATGTACATACATATATACAAAATTCAAAGCTGTTTAGCAAACATAAATAAATATTTTGATCGCAATGCTTATAATATAATAAACCAAATTCCCGATGTGACACGTTAAAATCATATAAACACTTATGAAAAAACAGAATGCCAACACAATTTAAGGACATTGCAAGCCACAAGCTGATTTAAAAAGCGTTTTTTGCTTTTATTTGCAAACTTTTCAAAACAATGTATCAAACTGTTAAGACAATCTTAAAGCTAATCAGTATGCAAATTTTAAAATTGACTGATAAAAAATTTAAATGGTCATCATGTTTTTATTTGATTCTTGATTCTTCAATATAAGTTTTAGGCTGCACGGCCCTAACTTTAGATGATGGAATAACTGGGAACAGTTAAGGACCGTCCTGTAACAGATGGTGGAAAAAGGCTATAAATTCGCCTACGCTAATTAAAAATACCAAAATAGTCAGCGTTGTCCAACACTTTTTTCCCCAGATCCAAGATGGCGGCTGTGTAATTTTTCGTGCGTCGGTTTGCAGAGTTTGTGAAATTCCACGCGCTCCTTTAATACAATACAATTTTTAACGCGACTTTCGGTAGCTGACAAAGAGCAAACCTTTCCACCCATTTCATAAGATTTTCATAGCCGTCAGACACAAATTCAGCAGCATGGTGGACAAAATTGAAATGAGTCTCGACGACATCATCAAGTCGACTCGCTCGCAGAAAAAGCCGCAAAGCATTCGCGGAGGACCAGGAGGAGCCCGACGACCGGGCGGCCCGCAGCGTGGCGGTGGCGGTGCCCGACGTGGAGGCGCCAACGCCAGCGGATCGCCCAGGAAGCCGACACCAGCCAGTGGAGCCGGTGGCGTTCTTAAAGGCCGACGAGGTGGCGCTGTTGGCGGTGCCGTTCAGAAGGCCAAGTTCCCAAGGGTAATTCAATGCATTTCAATGGCCCAAACGGAGCAGCCGGAGCAGCATATCCCTGTGCTCACGAGGACAATAATGCCATGACCCAGTACCAGTACCCAGTACATGGCTAATAGCGAATGACGAAATCAAAATGGCCGCGGTGCGCCGCCTTCCAAAGGACGCAGCAGATCTGCACTCGCAATTCTTCGAGCCCCGGCCACTGATCAAGTTCCTCTAACCCCGTTTTTACAGAATATCAAGCAGAACAAATTTCCTCCCACGTTTCCCACGTGAACCTTACCCAGTTCAATAGCATTTTTAGAGTCTCCGCTCGATATGGCTGTCCTCTTGAGGCAAAGATAAGATGCAACTGCTACTCCCGCCAAATACATATAGTTGATACGCCTCGCATACCGCGAACCAACAAGAGAACATACCCATCTACCTTCTACCTAATACTACCCCACCTCTAGGGCGATGTGAACAGCGCTTGGAAGCACGATATGTACGACGGACCGAAGCGGGGAGCCGTCGGTGGCGGATCCGGACCCACCCGTCTCATTGTCGGCAACCTGGACTACGGAGTCTCCAACACTGACATCAAGGAGCTCTTCAACGACTTCGGGCCAATGAAGAAGGCGGCAGTGCACTACGACCGCTCCGGTCGCTCTTTGGGTAAGTTTGAGTACTCCTCTAGCTTTAGTACTATATTTAGTTGAACGTATTGCTAAATATAAAAGCTGTATTGCTAAACACCTTTGAAATTCAATTAGGGGTGCTGTAAAAATTTCTTTTAACCGAATTTTTATCTGCTTTCGACTAGAAGTTACGACTGAACTCCGATCTAATGTTTTTAATCATCCTTCGCAGGCACCGCTGACGTGATATTCGAACGCCGCGCCGACGCTATGAAGGCGATTAAACAGTACCATGGCGTGCCTTTGGACGGACGCCCCATGACCATTCAGTTGGCCGTCTCCGACGTGGCCGCCTTGACCCGTCCCGTAGCCGCCACCGATGTCAAGCGACGTGTGGGTGGTGGCGCATCAGCTCCATTCAAGCGTGGTGGTGCGTATCCAAATCTATCATCAGGGACCGTGAATAATGCCTATTTATGGTTTTTTTTTTTACCTCAAACATCATCCATTGAAAACGATTTCCAGATCATTTTTGGATCTATGCACTTCCACAAAGATTTTTAAACGCCTATTTATTTCGATGATTAATTTTTAAGGTTAACACTAGATTTTCGTTTACTGGTATTTATGGTTTCTGTTCACTATTACATATCTTTTAAATTTTCTGTCTAAAAAAAATACTTCCTGCTCAAGAGTGAGCCATCCACCATATTTACACGAAAATTAATGTTACATCTTTTTGTTGCAAACTTTTCTTAATTCATTTTGTTGTGTAAAATATGTTTACAGTTCAGTTTCACTTCTGAAAGATTTGTGCGATTGCTTGCAGAACGAAGAGCTCAGCTTTCAAACAATTGTTTCTGCAATGGAACCAAGAATGATTATGATTACGGTCCCTGAAGGCAATCCCTAGTTCCAATCCTTACACTTCCATTCCAAACTGTTTTTTAGGTGCCCAAGCTGGCGGTACTCCGCGTCGTGGCAGCTTTAAACGTCCGACCGGAGGCAAACCGGCCACTGGCGGCCAACGACGGGAGCGCAAGGCCCCACCCACTGCCGAGGAGCTGGACGCCGAACTGGACTCCTACATCAACGACATGAAGATCTAAATAGCCAATAGTCTGAATTAGTCTAACAGAGAAGTAAAAAAAAAAAAAACACAATCCCTAGTCTTAAGTCTACCATATGGACACTTTCCGCATGGTACATCAAATCAAACGCATCCGGAACGACAACGCCGCGCTAAAGTTTACTTTCAGAACTGCAGACATCAACATTTAAAAAACAATTTGCGCATGTATACATTTAATTGTTAATTGTAGCAATTTGGCGGCTGTTGGGATAAGTCGACTTATTGAAATATTTACATTTGATGCTGTATTTATTATTAATAGTAATACGCTTTAACAAAGTTCGACGATGACTTAATTCTGTAAACTGAAATAATTCTAAACTGAAGTGTAATAAATACTAGAATTAATTTCGTGACCAAATCGAGTTGTCCTTACTGACTCAATAGGTTAGGTTAGGAGGACTTTAAAAAGAATCTCCAAAAACTTTCGTAAATAAAAGACCGATAATTTATAATTAAATGTTTTATTTTGGAATAATACATAGATGGTTATAAAGAGATTTTGTTTTACACAAATTGTACAGACTATAAGAAGTTTCAATTGGACACTTTAAGTACAAATGCTGATTGGGCTTCGGTATTAGGTGGTAGATTAGCAAAGTCAATCTATTTAATCCTTTTTTTTTGTGGGGCGGAATCACGAGTTACTTAAATTTCAACAATTGCGTTAGACGTGTTAAACGTGTTACTTAGACGATAGAACAAATGTGGTAGGGATGAAAATGAATCAGAAGGAAGAACGATTTGGAGAGCTGTGTTGCCAAATATAATCGGGATTTCCTTTCACCGGCTGATCAACTGATCTATATAGATAATGCGCCTCTAATGTGTGTATATGTATGTTATAAGCGAGTTATATTTATAGGTTCATGTTTTTTTTTTAATGTCGGTCTGAGGATGTGATGGTGAGTCATTAAATGCTTGGCGGCCTCTTCTGCACCCAGGCGCACTTCCTCTACCAGAATCCGCCCGACGAGTATCCGCCAGGTGGGACTCGCCCACGAGCCTCTCCGTTCGTGGCCGCCGGCTTGTTCGCCGGTTCCTTGGGTTGACTGGGCGGGGCGGTCACCTCCTTTTGGGTGGTCACCTCATCGCGCAGTTTTTCCACCACCTTATTGGGATCGGTGGAGCCCATGCAGGCGTTGAGGTTCGAGGAGTTCTGTTGGTTGTACTTGGCACGAGGGGCGGGAACGGCCACGTCGGGCTCTGAGAAGATGTTGGTGTGTCCTCCGCCTGGGGGTTTCAGGACACGGCTAGAGGGACGGGCGCTGGTGGTCAAACCAATTTTCAACTCGGTGGATGTCATTTTGTCGCTGGTGGCTGCAATGCATAACAATAATAAAAAATGATTCAGATGCGGTTAGAAATACGAGTACTCTAGAATACAAATTTTCAGTCACGCCACTTGCGGATATATGTACATCTATATGACCGCCACAATGACGCCCGTCATCAGACATCGCCCCATTGGGGGGGTAACTCTTTGTAAAGTAGAGTGAAACCGAGACTATTTGTTCTGCCATTCTGCCCCTTCCTTATGCTTTCTCTACACATAGAAATTCATCGGCTCTCCTCTATACGGTTTTGCTGGTTGCGTTCTCTTTAACTTTTTAACTTTGCCGTTAACTGTAATTGCGCGTTTTGTGGCCATCGCACTTTCGTTGTTGTTTTTGGCGCTGTTCATATTTTCGTTTTGGTGTCAAGCCTTCGCACAGTGGGATAAAAATATGCAACTTAAAGTAAAAACCTTATAACTTTGCGTGTTACCCATTGATCCTAACTTCTTTATTTAAAGTCCGTAACACAAACAGTTTATTATCAGCAATAAATTAACTAAATACCTTTAATTTACCAGCCATTAATTGCTACTTTAAACAATTTAACCATTTGCCAAGTCTTAACTTGTTGCAAAAGTAGTTTTTTATTTAAAACTACAATTATTGTTTATTATAGAAGAAAATACTTTTCCTTTTTCCCGTATCATTTTCTTTCACAAAACACAATTTGTTAGCTTTTAATTTGCTCACTCTATAAATTATGAATATACCCATGTTTTTTTTGTCCGTACTCCTGTGTTTGATTGTAATTAATTTGCTTATATTTTGTTGTTATATTTATGCAGCGTTAGGAAAGCTACAAGGTTTTTGGACCTAGGTAAGACACAAAGTAAGTACGTAGGTAAGGTAAAATACACACAATTTGTCATGTACCTAGGTAAGGCAAAAGGTACAAATAATTTAAAAACATACCTACGCACATTTTTGGATTAATTTTTTTTTAAATAATCACTAAGATGTTCTTTCAAATTTGCTGTTCAATTATAATATTTTGTATTCGATCTTGTCGATGTTGAAAGAAACATAAATATACCTTGCGGTGGAATTAAATTATCTTCAAATTGCAGTGAACTTAAAAAATGCATTGTGCATGAACAGCTCCCCATAACCAACATGAGCATGAAAATCTCTTATGCACATGTTAAAAGGTTTATTTTTTGCAATGAATTACAATTTGTTAGCTTTCTCCTATTTACCAATATTCACTGTGGCTGTGCAGTTTTACCATCTATTTATGCTTCGCTCAGCTCAGTAAAAAGAGGTCGCCGTTCAGGCGATGACATCTGCCACAAGTGCTGTAAAGCATTTGTAATGATGCGTCATCCGCTGGGGGAGACATTTTCCGCCCAATCTCGCACCGCCGCCCCCTTGCCCCACCCAATCCCCCGGGGTGTAACGCTTTTGGGGTGGCTGTTGGCAACAACAACAAACACAGGCCACACACACTCGCAATTTTGTTGGGGCATGGGGAAAAACAAAGCAAAGTGAATGACCGCTGCGAGTCAAAGATCTTTAGATTAGACGGTCTGCAGCGATTCCGATTCCCATAGTTAAGTGCTTTCCACTTGGGCAAAGTAAAAAACTAGAGAACACAGCAAAAAAAAAAAACGCCACTGATAAATAATTAAAAGTTCTTCGAGGTGAGTTACTCGTGTTATTAATAGTTCTGGGAAAAATATTAATGCGTCTATATTTTACCTCTTGTAACACAATACCAAAAACCATATCGAAATGTTTTAAAATTATGGAATGGACTTTTTTCCGTATCATTATTTAATTGATGGTATGTAAAATCCTATCACGACACTTTTTCTTTCTGTGCCGAAAAGCAATAACAGCGACTGATTGCCGTGTTCCCTTCCACTGTACTTGTTGTTTTTGCTTCCCTAGGGCGATTGCCGGCTCGCACCAACACATTCGCAGGTACGTAAATCACATTAACTGGCCTGCCGTTTGTATTTGTGCTGAAATTATGAGTAATGAGCAATCTGGATATAACTTGAAATTGAGGCCCTCGGCCGACTTGTTGACTTAGTAAATATGGCCAAAACACATTCGACAAGCGGAAATCCAGTTTTGGCGGAGACCTACTTAAAATGTATCTTCGATTAGATCCAAAACGGCGCGATGCATACGGAAACTGGCAGAGCAGAAAAAACAGCTCTAAGAGCAGGCTGCTAAAATTCGGTTTAAACTGCTTCCAGCTAGTTTTTTTTAGGTGCATGCAATAATCGCCCGACTAAAGCGAAACACACAAAAACACAACCAACATGGCCGCCAAAAAGGAGAGGCGAAAAGAGATTCCGGCAGAGAATAGACCCAGAACAGGGAATCTTCCACAGAGGATGTGTTATTTATAATGCATATGGCAGCTGTGCTAAAAAAAAAATTTTAAAAGCAGCTGCACACGCACACACACAGACAGCGCTTGCGCTCGGTGAACAAAATTCCATGACACAAGTGAAAAGTGCTGGTCTCGGAAAATTATTGATTTATCTCGGGCCCGTGAGGTCTGTCAACTACAGGTCAACAGTTTACCCAGCTTTTTGGCACCCAAATCACTCTTACCTGTGAAAAACTCTGGAACACAGATTTACTCGTAGCTAATGAAGCTCTAAATTTACGAAAATTCGCTGAGGAAAACGACGCGCACTCGCCAACGAACGTTGATTTCAAATGCAGAGTGTGGCCGCGGCGCAGCTTGCAGAAACATACTTCTTAGTTGAAGAAAAAATACCGCAAATAGCCCATTATAAATACTGAATCGCAGGTGCATGACTTGCTTCAGAGCTCTGGTAGTTCAGCCGAGTCTCAAACCCATTTGACCGAAGATGGACCAAGTTCGTAAACACAACGCCGCATAAGCAAACGTGATTGATTTTTGCTTAACAAGTGTTCGAAACGTATATTGTTTCCTCTTTCACAGAATGTTTCGAGTAAGGCTATGATGATTGTGGTATTTCATCTTTTTACAGCGGAAAATAAAAACTGGACTAGTGCGTCCACAAAACTTATTTTGTCGTTGTGCTTCAAGAAGTCAAAATTTCGCGACCCCAAAAAAAAATAACAACAGTTTGGAGGAAGATTGTCGATGGAATGGAATGCAATGAAGAACACGGACTGAACGGACACAACAAAATAAGAGATTGTAAATGAAATCACATAGTTTTCTCAAGTTCATATAGGCAAAAGTTACCTTAAAAAATTTTTTGTGGCCAATCTAAAATGTTCCTTTAACTGGTCCAAGATGTAGGTTTTGACCGTCACTTCATAAAAAATGTTTTTTTTAAGTGGCGTCTTTTTCTGAAAAGGGGGGTTTTTAAGACGGTTTTGTCTACTGCCGCAAATGCAGCACAGTCCACTGCATTTGTAGCCACATCAATAAAAAAAATTCTACCTAAATAAACTGGGTATTCCCGAAACGCCTAAGTCTCTGAGTTGCTGAAAATTCAGCAGTAATTTTTAGTAATTCTTCTAACAGATATGATATTTAAAAATCGAAAATTAAAAAAAAATTCCCGCCAGCTTGTCACTATACACAGGGGTGAAAATTCACTACATTTAGCTTAAAAGTAATGGATTAAATTTGCTGTCTTTAGTCTCCAAAGTTGTAGCCGATGCTCACACTACTTCGTTATTTCGTTTCCCCTCTTTCCCATTTATGCTTCTGAACTTCAAAACTAACAACATTGTTTTATCTATAGTCTCCTTAAGTTCAAATATAACCAAGTAGTGGCCCAGTGGTTAGAAAGTTCACCCTGTAAAAACTAACGCCAGACCCTATTCCTACTTGGGTAGAAATATTAGTATTTTTTTGTAGGCCTTACTGCATTAAGACTCAGTATACGTTTTTTAAATTTTATATTGACTCGTTATCGGACCCGAAGGCGATTCGGATCGGGAATATTTTGTCTTAAGCATTTTATTAATGGCAGCGATTTTTCTGAGTTTCTTCAGAACGGATTTCGTCGATCTGAGTACTAGGCTAAAACCTAAAGTAGAAAATTTTAGGAATCCCCATAACATTTGTATATCCGAAACGCTCAGAGAAACATTGCAGTATATTTTGTCGAGCTGATTGACATTTTTTGTCAATTAAGCTTTGGTCACACCGCAACATTTTGGATTTTATTTTCTGTGTGTTTTTTTCCAGATATTCTGCCGATTCTTGCTCAAAGCTTTTGTGGTTTTTCCAAAAGTTGTGTGCATCTCCATGTGAATGCAGCCAATTGCAATAGTAAGTACGAAGTGCCGGAAGGGAGATGACGCCAAGAAAAAACATGAGCGCGGCGAAAGCTTGCTGTGCGAAGGGGCACAATGTGGCACACATTCGCACACAAACAATAACAGATTGCTTTGCATCAATCATAACAAAAAACGGTGGCCAATAAGGATTAAAGTAAGAGGTACTAGGTGTTTGGATGATCCTGAGCCCTGCTGGCAGTGTTCCATGGGTGGGCTGGATGACTGGAGGACGTCAACTTTTACATCACTCAAGCACCCGCAATCAAAGCAAGGAACTGCAAACCCTTCTTCAGCTTTGAAGAAATCAAACTCTTTTTTTTTTTTTTTGTAAAGCTAACAATGGCATTCGGCCAATGCCACCTATTGATTTTGGCGAGGTAATGGCAATGATTCCTGTTGCAGGAAGTTACTGGAACTTGATGCCCTACCCACCGGCATGGCGGTCAAGGTGCAATTCGAAATTGGCCACACGTCGAAGCTGCGCAGCAAGAAGACCCCGCATCCGCAGGGCTTCACCCACGATTGGGAGATCTACGTGCAGGGCGTGAACAAGGCGGACATCAGCGCCTTTGTGGAGAAGGTTGTCTTTCTGCTGCACGAATCCTTTCCCAAACCCAAGCGAGGTAAGTGCTGCAATCGTATACACACTGAAGGCACCTCTTTAACCGCTTTTTTTGCTCGATTGCAGTGGTTAAGGAACCGCCGTATGCCATTCAGGAGTCGGGCTACGCCGGCTTCCTGCTGCCCGTGGAGATCTTCTTTCGCAATCGGGACGAACCCAAGCGAATCGTATACCAGTACGACCTGGTACTGCAGACGACGGGACCGCCGCAGCACCACGTCGAGGTTAAGACGCACATCTTTGAGGCCCCATCGGAGGAGTTTCGAACGAAGATGATGCGCGGCGGCGGAGTGCCCGTGTTTGGGGCCAACATCGGCGGCAGCAGCCTTGCGCGGACGCTTTCGCCAAGCGTTGGCAGCGGTGAGACGCCGCCGAACAACGAGATGGCTCTGGTCAAAGCCAAAGGAGTGCCTGGTACGATCTCGCTAAACGTGGATCTGGGTGCCGGCAAAAAACACAAGTCGCGCAACGAGGATACCGGAAAGAGCAGCGCCTTTTCCGCCCTCTTTGGCGCGCCCATCACGAAGGGCAGCGCCGCGGCCAACAACCTGGCCTTGGTGCCCGCCTCCAAGCACTCGCCAGAGGCCAAGACCGTTGCGGTCAGCGGCAAGGGAGGATCACACGAGGGACGAGACAAGGCTAGCAAGGATCGGGACAAATCCAGCAGTGGCGACAAACCGCGGGACAAGGACAAGAAGGATCGCCACGGTCGCGACAAGGATCGCAAGTCGAGCAAGTCCGCCGACGGCAAGCACGAACGGGATAAGGAAAAGTCGAAGAAGGACAAAACTCGCGACAAGGAGCGTGAGCGTGAGCGCGAGCAGAGTTCAGGGAACACTCCATCCACCGGCGCTCTCACGGTGGCCAACTCCACGGCTCAAGTTGCAGCTGGAGCTTTGGCAAAGCATACGGCAAGTCCCAGACCCGGAAAGCAAAATGAGATGGGTGCGCCCAGTCCCAAGAAGACGGCAAATGAGGCGACCGCGGGCGCTGCTGCACCGGCATCTCGTTCCAAAGAGCGCGATGAGCACAGGTCGGGTAAGTCCGAGTCCAAGGACAAGGAGCGCAGCTCCAGCAAGAAGTCCAAGAAGGAGAAGAAGGATAAGGACAAGGAGCGCGAACGGGAACGGGAGCGGGATAAGCAACGCGATGAGAGTAAGGACAAGCGAATGCCAAAGGAGGAGCGATCAGCGCAGAGCGCCAGTCCGGCAGCCGGAAATCCCCAACCTGCCCAGCAAATGGCCGGTACGGGTAAGGCCACGCCCACTTCTGTGGGCAGCAATAGCAGCAGCAGCATGGTGTCAACTAGCGGCAAGCAAAAAGACGAATCCACGGGCAAACACGCCGAAAAGGGCACGGAGTCCAAGGTGGATAAGAGCACCAGCAATGGCAGTGCGGCAGACAACAAGAAATCCCACAAGCACAAGAAAAAGGACAAGATTAAGGATAAGGATAAGGATAAAGAGCGTAGCGATCGCGACAAAGACAAAGACAAAGAGAAGGAGCGTGACAAAGAGAAGCCCAAGGATCGGGAGAAAGACAAGCAGCCAGCGACCACAATCGAAAAGCCTTCAGCTGCCGAGCCATCGCCCAAAACCGAGGGAGCCAGTCCAGCCACCGAGGGTGGGACAGGGGACAAGATCGGAGCCAGTGCCAGTGCCAGTGCCAATGCCAGCAGCAACAAGAAGGAGAAGCACAAAAAGTCAAAGGAGAAGTCCTCCGGCAAGGAAGAGAAGCGTCAGCGGGATGCGGCCGACAAGCAACCGGAGTCCAAGCACACTGGAAAGCAGCAGCAGCATCAGGCACATCTACAGCCGGGCCAGAGCAAGGCGCCCAGCAATCTGGACCTTAGCGACGTAGACTCAGCCCAATCAGCCCCGGACTTGGCGGCCACCAACGCCTTGGCGGCAGCAGCAGCTGCCACCCTCCAGCACTCCGATAGCTCAAACAGCAGTTTTCCGGACCTGCCCGCCAGGGGCTCCAGCCTGCAGAAGGCGGCGAAAGGCAGTGGTGGTCCCGGCAAGGAGGCAAAGCCTTCGGGCAAGGAGCACAAAGGCAAGTTTAAGCAGAACGACAAAAACATTGACAAGACGGAAAAAGCGGACAAAACTGCTGCAGACGCCAAGCTGGAGAAGTCCGAGAAGGAGAAGCCGGACAAAGAGGAGAAGAAGCGCAATCGACGAAGCTCACAAAACAGCAACAGTGGCAGTGGCGGAGGCGGAGGCGGAGGAGCAACTGGTGGCTTCATAGAGCCCCCCGTTAAGTCATCCAAGAAGGAGCAGAACAAGGCGCCGCGAGAAAAGTCAAAGTCGCCCTCACTGCGTCCATCCAGAGATACCAACTCGATCGGCTCAGGCGGTGGGGCATCCAATGCGGGATCAGGTTTTCTGCCGCCGCCATCGTCTTCGCCCAGCAACAATCACGTTGGGTCGGTTACGGCAGCCAGTTTGAACAATAACAATATCAATACGAACAGCAACAGCGGTCACTCGCCCAATGAAATGACGACGACGGGACAGCTTCAACTGCCAACGGAATATTTGAGCGAACTGCAGGAGTTGCATCACAAGATCATGACGCTGCAGGACAACGAGGAGTTGCAGCAAGTCGTGGAGATGATCGCGGCCACCGGTTGCTATGAGATCACGCACAAGACGTTCGACTTTGACCTGTGCAAGCTGGACCGCGGCACCGTGCAGCGGCTACAGGAGTTCCTGGCCACCTCGGTGTCGTGACACTCCCTGACCTCCACAACCGGCACGGCTCTCTACAGCTAGATGTTGCACAAAACCCCTCATGCACATAACCAAATCATTAAGCTTAGTGTTAACGTTGTAAGCCACCAAATGGAAATGACTCGGCTCGCACACATACCCGATTCCCCCGCCCTAGATCCTAAGTTGTTGACCCGAAGGGCATACAAAAAAATCCGAAAGATTTCGCTTATGAATATATATTGTATTGAAATCGTCCTTTAGTTTTTGAGACTCATATGATTTAAGGCCTATTTTTTATGTTTTTGGTATCCTATTCGATTCTAACTTAATGATTTTAACATTCTATGCTATTTTTTTCTAGACGCTACGCTACACTACACTAGTTTACACGAAGATCGTACCTCTTTAGAACCTTATTTTGAAGACTATTTTAAGATTTTCGAACTTAAATGACTTCAAATTAATAGCTCAAAAACGGTTACTTGAAATAAAAGTTTTTAAGGTACTTGCCAAAAAGGTATTTGTAAACTAGTGGTTAAAACTTGCGAATAAATTATTACTTTTGTACGATGTTTACGTACTTAATTTTGGTTTCTTTTTAGTTCCATCCAAACTTAATCAATATATCATAGTCTCAAGTATTATAGTTAACCGCCTAAAATAAGAGGGATATGTAACCAAATTATGTGCAGTGTATTTAGGACTATGGTAACGCTAAAACAGTAACTGAATATTAAGCTCAACTTAAGAAAGGGATTAATGCATCCTCAAATAACCACTCTGAATTACAGCAGTGAAGAAAAGAGTGAAATGCTCGCATCAGCCTTGAAAAATATATAGAAATGTATGGATAAACCAAAGGAAGTGCGTCCGTTTGTCAAGTTGATTGGCATGTGTACATATTACGCAATTACGAATTTACGCAAGCAGTTAATTTAAACCAAATATGTTATTGTACATGAACATCAGGCACAATCATCTCCTTTCCCACAACCATATGCGTATATACTTGTCATAAATGTCGGTGTAAGCTAAATGTAACGGTTGGCAGGCGTCTCTAAAAATATAACTTAAGATAATATCCAAAAATTGCTAAACAAAAGAAAAAATGGATTTATTCATAAGTCATGATTTGACTTGATTTATTTTCTTCGCACATACAAAAAATATTTTTCATTAATTAATACAATACTATCGTTATTAAAGGAACCTATATTACAAACTGAGGCAGATCTTTTAACTTAAAAAGAGACAGTGACGCTTTCTTTGGGCAAAATAGAAAAACACCTAATACCTACAGGAAATCAAAAAATCAGCAAACAGTGCAAAAATCTATTTGAGTTGATTGATTAGCAGTTCTACTATGTTTTGGACTAGGTCTGTGATGGCACATCAGTTGCGGCAATAGCAATACTTTCGCAGTTCGGGATCCCGATCGTATATGCAACGTGCCTGATTTCCGTACTTGTTAACTCGCGAGATGTCCGTGAGTTTCGTGGTGGCACTAAACGTGTGCAAGCTGTAGGCCACGCTCGCCTCGAACAGCCCCTCGCCGGGCAGCGTAACCAGCTGCAGCTGGTACATCTCATCCCGCACCAGCGTTTGGCCCGTCATGTCCGCCAGGAAGCCGTCCCGGTCGCTGTTCGTCTTGAACTGCAGCAGCTCCTTGTGCGGTTGCAGGCGCAGTGCCCAGTTGACGCGTAGAAGCTGGAGGAGAAAACCAATTTAGGATTAGATTATCCATAACTCACTTTCTGGTAATTGCATCCAATAATATTAGCTTAGCTCCTTTGGTACTAGACTGGTTAGTTTAGTTGGCTTTACTACCCACCTGCAGAGGTGCACAGTGCTGGCGTTGCTCGACCGTGGCCGTGTTGATGGCACTCACGATGCTCTCGGCGGCCTTGAGAATGATGCCGCTGTACCGCGTGTCGTTCAGCTGCAAAGGCAGCCAGTTGAGGCACGCGCACCAGTGTGGCTCTATGTACGCGTCGGCACAGGATCGGTTGCTGGGAATGGGTTCCAAGAGTGACATGGCTCGACCCCGTGCCAGCTCAGAGATGTGAATTCCGGGCAGGTTGGGTTCAGCTTGCAAATCGTTGCGCTCTCCCAACTGATCTTCTGCGCCAGCGGTTTGCAGTTCTGGGTTAAAAATATAGAAGTTAGTCAGTCTCTGCTGAAAGCAATCAAACTTCATGCTTACGTATAATGTGCTTCAGTGTGGCATGAATGTCAAAGGGCGTAGTGAGGTGCTGCTCGTTGGCCACAAAGTTCTTGTACTCCTGCGGAAAGCGCTTCTTGAACGACTCGGGAAACGCGAAACTGAAGAAGGGCAGTCGCTCTTCCTGTTTGCCCTGCAGTGTGGCCCGCACCTCGGCAAACCGGTTGCCATGATCGGCCATCATGATCAGAATTGTGTCGTCCAGCAGCGACCGTTCCTTGAGCGCCACCAGCCAATCGTGGACATCATCATCCGCTGCGCCCACCAGGTTGATGGAGTCGTGTGACAGGCCGCCATGGAAGCTGAACACAAAGCGCGGGGCATCGCGATACTTCAGCATGAACTTTAAGAAAAAACCATTAATTAAAAAGAACTCGCTTTGCCGTAACACGGCTAACAACTTACGTTTTTGGTGTACTCAAGCATGGTCACATGATCCGGCTGGTGGCCAATGCAATTGGGCTGGCTCTCGGCGGCCATATGCTCCGCCTGGACATAGTAGGTCCGCAGGTAATGGTCCACCGGCTGTGCCTCAAAGCCGGTCATGCGGTAGGTGAAAGTGCCCACATTGGGCAGATCCTCGTTAAACGAAGTCATATAGCCCAGGCCGGCAAAGTCCTTCCAGATCATGGGGTACGAGTCCACGCTGCCCGCTCCGGACAATCGCTTACGCGTCTCCGGCAGCTCTAGTTCCGTGAAACCCGTCAGCAGGGGCACCAGGGCCTGCGGCGTTCCATCGCCCACGATGTTGTAGCCCTTGAGAACGCTGGCGCCCAGTTGTTGTGTGAGATACTCATAGGTCCTGGGCAGCTTACGCATAAAGGCGTTGCGGCTCAGTGAATCAAAGCCGAACATGAGGACATTGTAGAAGGAGGCCGTGGGCACATCCTGCATTTGCAGCTGAGCCTGGGCCACAGCCTCCGGCGGCAAAACAGCCAAATTCGGCGAGAAATTGGCAGCCAGGGGCCGGGGTACAGTGTCCCGAATGCCATGGGCCATGCCAAACCAACTGTGGATGGAGAGTAGAAGCATGTTAGGCAAGGGCAAGAGCTCGGAAGTTAGATAGAAGTCACCTCTCGCCGCTGGAGGATCGACAGGCAACCTTGACGAAGTCACTGGCCTGCAGGACGTAGGGCTCCTTTATGCGCAGCGTTCTTCCGAAGCGCACTTTGTAGTCCGACTTGCGGATGATGTCCGTGTAGGAACAGGTCACATCCTCATGGCTGGACGCAATTTCCGGACGCACAAAGCAAATGGATTTCTGTGTGAGATTCGGGGATTACCAATAAGGTCCTCTGGGACTGGGATTCTAGATTCAAGCCCTCAGCTAACCTCGCACATCACCCAGTCCATTCTCTCGCCGCAGTTGATTCGCTCCACCGGCTTGTAGAACTTCATGATGACCGGATTGTCCAGGGGCAGATGGGGATGGCGGCACTCGCCCTGATTCACCGCCGATCTTATCGAACGCTCGATAATTTCGCTTTGTCAGAAGGGCAATACATATGTATGTACATATAAGCAAACGTCCTACAGTGAATATCGCGCGACGCTCGTGTCGCCCAGCTATACATACATCTTGACGTTCTTATCCAAGTCCCGCTCGTCGTTCAACATATACAGAGTAACCATCAGTATCACCACACAGCAACCGGCTGTGATTTTCGGCACAGTTCCCCGGCGGACAAAACGCATCTTGAATAATTTATAAGCTGCAAAAAATAACCCAGACATGTAAGAATTCTACCGCATTTCTGGGAAACTGCACTCACTCTTTCTCCAATTAGTGCTATGCAATTTGAGGGCAGCGGCGTCGCCCAACTTATTGTAACTGATCTACGCACATTTCAAAGTTAAATTTTTACCAATAATGACCAACAAACCGCTCAGCTGGGCGTATAGCTCTAAGCAATGTGTCGAAAACGGCAAAAACAATTGCAAATTTTGGTCACACTGTAATGGTTGGCAACGCGACCGTTACATTTTAGTTTGAATTTGAAATAACGCGCCAGGAGAACATTTATATTTTTCTCAATTATTTATTTATTAAAAAATGGTTTGAACTAAAGCTACTTACACTTATTTCGGATATCTTGATTTCAATATATGTTAGTGGATTCTTATTATTTATTTGCATAGGCTATAGCCTGGTTTACTTTGTGATAGTGCCGATCGTCTAAGGCTGTGATGTTACACAGCGGACTGCGTTGCAAACTTCTGACTAAAATTATTAACCGATACCATTCAACAATTCTCCGCTGTGAAGCTACAGAAAACTCGTAATTGGTTTGCATAGCGTTTACTTGCTTTGCATTGTTTTTGGCGTAACGACACAAATTAACATTAACGTTAACAGCTTTTTACTGTGAGTGAATGTACAAAATAAATAAATTTATTCGTAAACACGATTTTTGGAAATTGCGTTAGTTTTATTTTAGTTAGTTAGTAAGTTTTTTTTGCTGTAAGTGAGTATACCAGGAAGATGGAAATAATAAATAAATTAAAAGAATAAATAATTTTATTCGTCAACACATTTTTGGAAATTGCGTTAGTTTTATTTTTGGTAGAAAGTGGAAAAGATTACGAGGTCGAAAAGAAAAATCAGGTTATCAGTCTTAAAAATGAAAGCAAAACCTACAAGGGGATGTACAAAATATTTGGGTATAGTGCTCGAATTTCATTTAATGCTATATACATAAGGTTCTGTCTTTAAACTATAACTGCATTCGAGCGAAACGATACGATAAACCATCAAGACATTTTTTTTCTCTGTTTCCACATACGAGACGGGAGATTCTCAGGGACCAGAGCGAGAATAACAAGCGCAGTTTTCTGGTCTAAACCCGATTTAAAATCTGTGGGCAGATATTAAAAGACCGTAAGCTAAATTCTTTGAGTAAATCTCATCTTTGGTGCAAGAGGCACGCCTCCAAATCGTTTTATAACGTTGCCAGGATCTCATTAATTACATAAATGGTACACAAATAAATGTTAAGCTCAAACTTACAGTCTAAGCTTTAAATATGTGCATCGCTTGTTCAGTATTTAAAACTGGAAGTTTTCAAAAAACAGTTAAGTTTTTAAAATCGAACTCTAACTATTTCATTTAACACTGCTATATATATTTATTATTTATTATATATTATTTAAATTTGTGCATCGCTTGTTCAGTATTTAAAACTAGAAGTTTTCAAAAACAGTTTAGTTTTTAAAATCAAACTGCAACTATTTCATTTAACACAGCTAAATATATTTATTATTTATTATATATAATTTAAATATGTGCATCGCTTGTTTAGTATTCAAAACTGGATGTTTTCAAAAACAGTTTAGTTTTTAAAGTCAAACTGGAACTATTTCACTTAACACAGCCAAATATAGTCCTAAAAGCTGACTGTATGAAAAATTGAAGCATAAGTGCTGCTCAATATTTTGTTAACAAAGGCAAAAGCCATTGAAAAGACGTTAAAATAAGCTAATCACTTTAAATCCCACATCTTACTTAGAGGCTGGCCTAAAAGCTTGCGACAAAGCTCGCGAGCTGGGATTTTCAGCCAAAGACTCAGTCGTGCGCCAAGCTCAGCTTCGGCCTCTCTTCACTGCACTCCGGTCCGTGGGAATTCCGTTTTAGTACCTTTTTATCGCGCCGTTTATTTTGATAACTGCTTCTGCAACCGCTCTGCAATATTGCAGTAAACAAAACATCATTACCATTACCATTTTCATCATCTTTACCCCAAACCACTGACGACGTCTTGAGAAAGGATTAACACCTGTCCGCTTGCGTAAGCAAAATGTTGAAGCTATCGTTTGTGTGCCTGTTCTTGGGCATTTTGGCGAAATCATCAGCGGGTCGTAAGTAAATAGAAGACAAGCCAAGTCTATCATCTGCTGGGGATGACAAGCTTTAACGTACATACATACATACATGTTTGTTTTGCCGCGGGCCTCAAAACCAGTTTAATACCTAATTTATTCACAAAGTAGGTAAGCTACGCACACGAACTAAACTCTAAACTCTGTAATTCCAGAGTTCTACTTCCCCAATGAGGCGGCCCAGGTGCCCAACTATGGACGCTGCATAACGCCCAACCGGGAGCGGGCCCTGTGCATCCATCTGGAGGACTGCAAGTACCTGTACGGCCTGCTGACCACCTCCCCGCTGCGGGACACGGACCGCCTCTACCTGAGTCGCAGCCAGTGCGGCTACACGAACGGCAAGGTGCTGATCTGTTGCCCGGATCGCTACCGGGACGGCACCCCGGAGACGCCTGCACCGGCCAGGCCCAATGTGACCAGCTCCGGCTCCGGCTCCGGCTCCGGCCTGCTCCCTCTGCCAGGACAGTGCGGAAACATCCTGTCCAACCGCATCTACGGCGGCATGAAGACCAAGATCGACGAGTTCCCCTGGATGGCTCTGATTGAATACACTAAGGGTGAGTGGGGGAAGGGAAAGCCTTCGCCAGAACCGATTAGCTCATAGTTTACCCCCATCACCATGCAGCCCAGGGAAAGAAGGGCCACCACTGCGGCGGTTCCTTGATCAGCACACGATATGTGGTGACAGCCTCCCACTGCGTCAATGGGAAGGCGCTGCCCAGCGACTGGAGGCTGACGGGTGTCCGCCTGGGCGAGTGGGACACCGCCACGAATCCCGACTGCGAGGTGGACGTGCGCGGCATGAAGGACTGTGCCCCCGCGCATCTGGACGTGCCCGTGGAGCGCACCGTGCCCCATCCCGCCTACATGCCGTCGTCCAAGAACCAGGTGAACGACATCGCCCTACTGCGCCTCGGCCAGCAGGTGGAGTACACCGACTTTGTGCGCCCCATTTGCCTGCCCCTGGACGCCAACCTGCGGGCGGCCACCTTCGATGGCATCACCATGGACGTGGCCGGCTGGGGCAAGACAGAGCAGCTGTCGGCCAGCAATCTGAAGCTCAAGGCGGCCGTGGAGGGCTTCCGGATAGACGAGTGCCGCAATGTCTACAGCGGCCAGGAGATCCTGCTCGAGGACACGCAAATGTGTGCCGGCGGCAAGGAGGGCGTCGACTCGTGTCGCGGCGACTCCGGTGGGCCGCTCATCGGCCTGGACACGAACAAGGTGAACACCTACTACTTCCTGGCGGGCGTGGTGTCCTTTGGGCCCACACCCTGTGGCTTGGCCGGCTGGCCAGGCGTCTACACTCGGGTGGGGAAGTACGTTGACTGGATCCAAAACACCATCGAGGCCTGAACGTTGTAGTTTTAAGCCCTTAAACTGTGCTCGTGTCAGGACTTTTGGCAAAGGATCCTTTTTTTAAAACAGTTTTACCTCGCGCGACAAGCAGGGAAGTAATTCTTAATACATATGTAAAATAGCCCTTTCAAGATAATTATTTATAAAAAAAAGATTTTGGTTTAATGAATGTCATTTTTGTTGAAATATTGTTCTCAATTTTTAAAATACTATTTAAAGACTATTTTATTCAAATATATTTAAAATGTACAATTTGTAAAATAAAATTCACGTTTAAAGAACTAAAGACTATTTTATTCAAACATATTTACAATCCTTGCACATACTGTACTTCGCCCATCCCTTTTAAAGACTATTATGTTCAAATATATTTAAAATTTAAAACCCTTAATATAAAAATCACGGTTTAAGAATTTGAAACTTTTTTATTCAAACTTATTTAAAATTTAAAAAAAAATCACAATTAAAGTATTTTTTTTATCAAAAATATTTTTACTTAAAACATAAACAGCTATTCTTAAATAAAAAAAGCTAAATTTTATTTTAAGACAAGTCAGGTCTAACAGGTTTTCAGTTCAGTTTGATAAAAACAACTTCTGTTTAAAATAATAATCATAGAAAAACTTTTGGTTTAAATACAAATTTGATTAACTGAGCTGTATAACAATTTTGAACTTATAAAAACTGAATATTAATGCTATTCTAGGATAGCTAAAGAACAAAAATAGTTCTCTATTATTTTATACCAATAACTGTTATTCACAGATTTAAACATAAAATATAAATTTAATTAAAACATATATATACCAACTTTCTAAACTAATTTATTTTAATTTTTTTTTATTATTAAAATCAGTTTTAAAATCTTAACCAAAACAAAGAGGATTAAATTTACAAATACTTAAAATCACAAAAAGTCACATTATCAAATGCGAGGAACGCGACCACTATTAATATAGTCTGTTTGTCACTTTGTCAACTCTGACAAAGTCTGTAGTCTGGCAACCCTAACTCACTGGTAAAAATGTTGAAGAACATCTACGTAACGCCGTTAAATTTGCTTAAATCGGCCACCAGCTTGCAGCAGCAAGTGCGGGTAAATCCTGCCCCAATCAAGGAAGAGAATCCCATTTACCACTCAATCAATTCCAGACCACGTTCGTACTAAAACGCAAATATGACCCGCCGCTGCACAAAACCAACGAGAAGCCTCGCCGGATGAGGGCGAAAAACTTCATTTACGAGCTGGTGGAAGACACGCTAGTCAAGAAGCGGCCCAACATGGAGGTGGTGCTGAAAACCTTCGTCGAGGGCGTCGGCGACAAGGGCGACGTTGTGTCCATGAAGCCACACTTCGTCTACAACAAGCTGCTGCTGCCCGGACTGGCCGCCTACAAAACGCCTGAGAATGTGGCCAAGTACGCCAAGACAGAGGCCGAAAGATCCGCGGTAAAGCATAGCTCGGCTTACGCCCAGCGGACGGTCAACATGCTGGAGTCCATTGTCCTGGCGGTGGTGATGAACAAGGACGAGCCCTGGGAGCTGGAGCCCTGGCACATCAAGGCCTCGCTGCGCAAGGCCGGATTCCATTGCCGCGAGGAGTGCATCACCCTGCCCAAGGAGCGCATCGTCGGCCCCGACCTGAAGAAGGAGAACAAGGACTTCTACTGCACCGTGACCATAAACAAGCTGGAGCAGGCGAGGCTCAAGTGCCGCCTGCACCATTGGAGCACGGATCCCAGCGAAAGGCTGCCCTACGTCCTGGAGCACTGGAAGCTCCAGTCTGAACCGCTTCTGGATATGGGTGCGCCCGAGAAGAGTGCGTAGGATAAAGGCAAATAAAGTCGGTTGTTAGAAAACTGTTGATTTATGAACAGCGTGAAAAACAATGGTTTATTTAATATTTTATCAAGTTGTACGACGCGGATTCTTAAAGGCTATATGATTACGAGTCTACATGATGTTAAGTTAGTGCTATTAGTGCACTGCCTTCAACTCCACATCGAAGACCAATGTCGAGTTCGGGCCGATCTTGGGCGGTGCTCCGCGAGCGCCGTAAGCCATGGCCGGGGGGCAGGTAATGCGACGCTTGCCGCCCACCTTCATGCCGGCTACACCCACGTCCCAGCCCTTGATTACGTCGCCGCCGCCCAGCGAGAACTTGAAGGGCTTGCCCTTCAGCAGGCTGTCGAAGGTCTTGTTGTTCGACTGCAGACGGCCGATGTAGTACACGGAAACGCGTTTGCCCGGCTTGGCCTCCTCGCCCTTGCCGGCGAGCACATCCTGAACCTTCACGCCTCCGGTGATGGTGCGCGGCTCTCCGGTCGTCTGCTGCTTGGCCTGCTCCTTGGCCTTGGGCTGTTCCTTTTTAGCCTCAGGCTTTTCCTTCTTCTTTTGCTGCGGCTTGGCCTCCTCCTTCTTGACCACACCATTCTGCTCCTTTCCGGACTTCTTCGCACTGGCGCCCGGCGACAGCTTAGCAACCTTGGCCTTTGGCTGTTCCTCCTCCGCCTCCGAGTCGTCTTCGCTGTCATCGTCCTCTTCTTCGCCGCTTTCATCGTCCTCCTCTTCATCGTCGTCATCTTCATCCTCTCCATTCTCGAGGAAGGACTCGTATTCTCCTATTAGCTGACTATCGTCAGTATCTTCGTCCCCCTCCTCCTCTTCCTCTCCGCTCTCATTTTCATCATCGGCCTCCGCCTTCTTGTTTTTTTTGCCCTCCTTGCCCTTCAGTAAATTCTCAAGGGTGAACTCCTCGTCCTCATCCTCGGAGTCAATGTCGTGCAAATAGCCCAACAGCGAAACGCTGGCGTCGCCTGTAAAGCGGGAAAACGTGTTACATGCGGATGGCCGTGGAAAATGGAATAGCAGCGACAGCGACTCCTTACCTGCAGTGTGGAACATAATGCGATCGCCCTTGCTGAAGTTAAGATCAAGAGCCACTTGTGGAATGGCCTTGCTCACGGTCGCCACGATATATTCCTGCTTCTCGGCCGCCAGGTACAACTTGGCCTCCTGGCCCTTGTCGAGGGCGACGCCCGAAATGTGGAACGACTTGATGATCGTCTGCGAGTACTTGCGCTCAGGCTTCATGTTCAGACCTGGACAGGGACAGCATTTGAGAATAACATGGTGTTTACTTGACTGCAGAAATGGCGCCGGTCCACGCTGCCGGCAACCCAATGGCAAGCACGTGGCTGCGTCATGAGCGCAGCACGCGTAAAACTCCTGAGGGCTGGGTTAAGAAGTACCGGGCAAACATTTATAATCCTTGACAGTTTAACTTACCCCAAAACATCGACATCTTAAAGGAAAACTGTGAACTCTTGACAGGAATTCAAATAAAAGCGAGGAATAAATTGTCAGAACGGAACCACTGACGCCGACTTCGGTGTGCACAAAGACTTTAACGTCCAGAATACCGAAATGCTTCAAAAAAGTGGTAGTAAACTGGTCACACTGACCAGCTGTATTATCAATTTCCCGCGAAATTAAATTCCTTACATTTCACTAAAAGGTTACGTCACCAAAATACTGTGTACCAACTACTATTTCCTTGGATACACTTCCGAAAAGCCCCAACGCCCGAACATTCTCAAGATTTCAGGATCCATGTATTCTGGGGTCCTGTTTACGAATAAATGGGTCAAAGATTGCGACAAGACCGATTTCTTGGAAAATAACGGTAAAAAGCTGTGATTATCTTATAGGATTCCCTGTGTAAGTAAATGCGCATTAGGCTTAATTCGTTTTAATGTGCCAATGGAATCCGGCTATTAGGAAAATTCGAATATTGGTCGTATTCAGCAGAAAAACCTGATCACTGATGGATTTGATACATGATACATATCTGCTAGCCTTTATCGATGGTGTAAATATCAAAAAGTATTAACAAAAAAATCAGAATGTGAACAAAACAAAATTAAAAAAAAAAAAAACAAAACAAGCTAAAATAAATGAATTAATGCGTAATGTATCATAGCGTTCATATGGGTATGACATTACATTGTTCGCTTCATTCATTGTCGGGTTCATTGAAGCTCAGAGACAGAGACAACTATTTGGATACGGCTTGAGATTTTTTTGGCTATGAGTTCACGGTCACACTGCGTTTTTAACGTTATATTCAAAATTGTTTTCTTTATTATATTGTTTATCCCGCTAATTTTAACGTTTTAAAGATTTCAGTTGTTACCTTTAAATGGTGAAAAATTTTTTGTATCGGTCCCGGTGGTATTTTATCGAATGTAATTTTTGTTACCCAATTCCGTCTTGTATTTTTATCTGGTTCTGTCAATTTTCTTCATTCATTGCTCTTTGGAATCGTCATACGTTTGTCTTGCTCGTACTTACGTAAAGTCGGTTATAAAAAAAAAAATAAATGAGCAATGAATGGGATCAACAATGTAGTGTCATAAGCCCATCAGCAGAGCAAACTTGATCAATGATTACGCACAATATCTACCAAATATTTATATTATATTATACTAGAGTAGAGATGGGAAAACATGGAAGTTGCCCCGCCAAACATCGATGAAACCGATGTTTTGAAAACATCGATGACACCGATTTTGGCATCGATGTTTCCCCACCTCTACTCTAAACACGGCTCTTCCTGCTAAATTTGTGAAGAAAAATAGCCTTTATTTGTTCCTCGCAATCGCCGCATCCGAATCCCTGGGTCGTGGAAAATGGCGGATGAAGCGGGCAGCCAATCTGATGGCCAGCGGCAGTTTATTTGCGGCGTGATCGAGGGATTCTACGGCCGGCCGTGGACCACCGAGCAGCGCAAGGACTTGTTTCGGAAGCTTAAATCCATGGGCCTGAGCAGTCCGTCCTACATGTATGCGCCGAAGGATGACTACAAGCACCGGGCATACTGGCGGGAGCTGTATACTGTGGAGGAAGCGGATCACCTGTCCAGTAACTAACCTTTGAACCATACAAATCCTCCGCTAAAGAGTCTTCCTTGCAGGTCTAATTGCGGCGGCCAAGGAGGCGGGTATTAACTTCTACTATGCCCTTTCGCCAGGGCTGGACATGACCTACAGCAGTCCTAAGGAGATCGCCACGCTGAAGCGAAAGCTGGATCAGGTCTCGCAGTTCGGCTGCGAGGCCTACGCCCTGTTATTCGACGACATCGAATCGGAGCTGTCGAAGGCGGACAAGGAGGTCTTCCAGACGTTTGCCAACGCCCACGTGTCTGTCACCAACGAGATATACACGCACCTGGGCAGGCCCAAGTTCCTCTTCTGCCCCACACAATACTGTGCTTCGCGGGCCGTGCCCACGGTGCTGGAGTCGGAGTACCTTAACACTCTGGGCTCCAAGCTCAACAACGATATTGACATCCTCTGGACTGGCGACAAGGTCATCTCCAAAACCATATCCATTGAGTCGATCCAGGAGATTACCGAAGTGCTGCGTCGTCCGCCATGTATCTGGGACAATCTGCATGCCAACGATTACGACCAGAAGCGCGTTTTCCTCGGACCCTACAGTGGTCGGTCGCCGGAGCTGATCCCCCACTTGCGGGGCGTGATGACCAATCCTAACTGCGAGTTCTACGGCAACTTTGTTGCCATCCACTCGCTGGCCTTCTGGTCGCGCTGTAGCTTGGACTCCAAGGTGAACAGCTCGCTGAGCGCGGACATTAAACTGGAGACTGAAAACGAGGATGAGCTTCCGGCCGAGTTCCTCTCTAAGAACGTTTACCACCCGCGAGTGGCTCTTAAGTGGGTAAAACTAAGAGAAGTTCTTGAGCCAAGCTTACTTTACCTAATTTTCTTCAAGGAATGCTATTGCGGACTGGCTGCCGGAATTTTCCATGGAGAAGGAGGCCTGGGGACCAATCACCAAACCCCAGCCCCAAGTGCAAATGGTTATGCCCATTATTCCCATAATACCCTCCATCAACACCTGCATGAGTCTCACCACCACCACAACCACTTCGACGAATTCGAGGACGGTTCCGGAGGTCAACACCACTCAACTGCAAGCCCTTGCTGATGTCTGGTAAATTGAAATTTTCTTGTGCACTTAAACGACTATAGTACACATTTAAATCATTAATTTCAGCGTTGTTAGCTCCACCCTGGCACCCATCTCCAATCCAGTGATGAATTCCCTCGTGTCGCCCACAAAGGTGATCACAAACGACGATATCATCAACCCCATCCCGACCACAGCTGCCAGCAACATTGAACTTCCCAAGAAGATTCCCATCTCCGTTGTCCCAGTTGCCATCATGGAGGCGAAAAGTGTGGACGCATCCGTGGATCTGGGTCTGGACAATGCAGTTTTCGATGACAATGCATTAAAACCGAAAACCGAATCGGCACAGGAGCGGCTTGAACTGGAGGTGGACGATTTAGAGGAAAAGCAAGAGCCGGTGGCCAGTCTAAGTGTGGATACAATGGTGGACGACGCCAGTCTGAGTCCACTGAGTGCCGGAGTCAATGAGCCCATGGAGTGCAGCAGTAGCATAGCCTCTCAGGTCTCTCCGCGGGAGGAGGAGGCAATCAAACTGGTGGCAGACGACGTACTCATGGAGTCTGTCAACGATGTGCATGTCAGTATGATGTTAAATACCAAGACCTAGTCTATTGACTTTCTATTCTTTTCTTCCAGAGTATGCATGTGGAGAGTGGCACTTCGTCGCCAATCTCAAATGCGGAAATGCGTGAGGAGAACGAAGCTCAGTCTGTTAGGACCATCGACAATAAGTAAGTATTAAAAAATGCAGTAAATTTGTTCCTCCTTTTTTTTTAATTTTGGATAAATTGACCTAAAATATACACCATTTGCCCAGAAAATCAAGCCACAAGCCCTAAAATTAAACTATATATTCTTTGATTCTAGTACGTCCACAGGCGGATACAAGTCAAAGATAACTGTTGAGGATTTGGGTCTGCTCTGCGATCTCTTCTACCTTCCCTTCGAGCACGGCAGCCGTGGCCACAAACTGCTGGTCGAATTCAACTGGCTGAAGGGCAACGCAAATGTGATACTGCAGGACCGTTCTGCCGGTGGGGTAAGCGATGACGTCAAAACCGCCAAGCCAGAGGTTACCGAATGGCACCAGCGTTGCGAACAGTTCGACGTACTTTGCACCGGCGTCGTCGAGCTGTTGATCAAAATCGCTCACTGCCAGAACAAGGAGATCTGCCACGAGCTATACTCGTATGTGTGGGATATATCCGGCGCTCTGTCCCTTCTCAATTGCTACGTCAAGTGGCTAGCTCTTGGTCACTTTCCGCATAACACGTCTTCTTACACGGAGGGCAGCTATACTTGTAAGTGATACACAGATCGTATAGCAAACAAAAACACCTGTACTAAGTTTCCTCCTCGTCCCCTTTCAGGGTTTAGCAAGGGCTGGAAAGAGGCCTTCATGTCCGGTGACCAGGAACCGTGGGTCTTCAGGGGCGGCCTCATTGCGGACCTGCAGCGCCTGATGCCGGTGGACTCGGGCAATGACCTGTTTGTGTACAAGCTTCCGGAACAACCCACGGCCAATTACTATCTCCTGAGGCCCTACTCCCATGCGGACGAGCAGAACGTCAACGAGGTGTGCACCCGCTTGTATTTGCAGTGGCAGGAAGAGTCGGACGGAGGCGTCCACATCCCCTTCCCGCTGCCGGCGAATGTGGCCGGCATCGTAGCTGATGGACTGATAGGAGGACATCTTATCCTCAGCCCGCAGCTATGCATTGTGGCTTACGATGAGAACAACAGCGTTATAGGCTATGCTTGCGCGGCCTTGGATGTCAACATATTCCGACGCAACTTGGAGCTTTGCTGGTTTACGGAGCTGCGCGAGAAATACCCCAAGGATCTGTGTCCGCATGGTGGGGACGAAGTGGTAGGACGGCTTGTCACACGCTTTGTGGAAAAGTTTCATTGCTCAAGCTCCAACGTGCCTCTGGAGGACTGTCCCGTGGAGGTGAGCGGCTCCTTTCCGGCCGTCCTGATCTCCGGAACTCTGCGGGAGGCCGAGCAGCGGGACTCGGGCATAACCAAGCGGATGCTCACCGTGCTCCTGGCCGCCCTGCGAGCGAATGGTTGCTTTGGGGCTCACGTATGTGTCCCCGAGCAGGACGTCGGTCAAGTGAACTTCTATTCCAGAATCGGTTTCGTCGAAGTCTACCGCGAGGAGGCCACCAAGTGCATATACATGGGTCGCCGCTTCTAGCGTTGTTGTTTCCGGATGCCAGCTTCACTGCCTCCACTTTTAATGTTCCTTCATCATTGGTATTCCGGCTAGCTGCGCTAGCCATTTCAATCTCGTCCTCGTCCCTTTTGTATTGTCTTAAGGTAACAAGTTTGTATTACTGACCAACCTTTCTAGCATTTATCTTTAGCACCGTTTTCTTTTAGCGTGGAAAACAATAAAAATACCAATTTAATAACTCTTTTGTTAGCTGTTTCCGCTGCTTTTGTTGAGGTCGTAGAACCACACGGTGTTAACTCCATCCTCGATTATTTTTACGTGCTGCAGGCTGGGCAGTGGGAAGCGGCAGGCGATGATCTTGGTGTTGTCCGGACACTCGGCAACCAGTTTGTGCTCCAGGTCCTGCATCATCTGCTCCACGCCGAAGATTACAACGAAGTTGTAGTCTTTGATATCGAACTTCCATAGATCTCGCCGGAAGAACCTCGTCTGCTTGGATACCCCATGACGCAATGCGGCCAGGCGGGAGTAGTATACCAGCCATGGATTCAATTCCACGCCGTCTGTCTTTAGAGCTCTATGGTGTTGCGCCGCCGCTGGAAAGGATTACATAAGTGGAATTAAAGTCTTCCTGAATTCCTCCGGTGCAGCAGACTCACCCACAACAATGCGCCCGTCTCCGGAGCCGATGTCCAACAGTTTCCCGCCCGCGGTCTTTGGTAGAAAGCTGAGGACATTCTGTATTTGTTCGCTGGTGGCGGGCACATATGGCAGACAAATCCGCCTGAAAGCGGGCGCCACAAAGGAGGCGCAGACAACTGACAGGCCGATGGCGACACCGCCAGTAGCCGCTATAAGGATTTTGCCTCCAGTGGACATGCCACTTTTTGAGGATTTGGAAACTTCTGTCGGCCTATTTTCGTTAAGGATTTCCATTTTAATCAGCTGTTTCAAAAAACATTTGAGTGTTACCAGCCAGTCTTGTGGTTAAAATATAATACTTATTTCGGTAGCCCTGTACGACACACGGCTGAACGGTCACACAGCACGGGGCGGTTACTGCGGCGCTTTGCAACACTGCACTATACACACACTTGTGTTTGACATGTGGCAACACTTTTTTCGGTCGTTTGATGTGTGCGTGCGCTTCCTATTACAATTTTTCGAAGGATTTTCCGTATGTTTTGTTGACGTGCTGGGCGGCGGAAAGTGAAAAACGAAATTAAACAGTGCCGTGCAACAGGGCGGGTCAGCGATTGGCATAAAGAGCAGTGTGTGCCCCGCGTGCGGATAGGCGTAAGGCGTTAAAAATGGCGAACGTAAGGGACAGCGACACATCACTGTGGCTGCATAATAAACTGGGCACCTCGAACGACTCGTGGATAAATGGCTCGATCTGCTCGCAGCTGAACAAGGAGGTGCTGCGCAACATCAAGGAATGCTTCCCGGATCTGCAGACGCAGGTCAAGCTGAAGCTCCTTCTCAGTTTCCTTCACATTCCGCGCCGTCTGGTGGAAGAGGTAAATGGCATTGGTGTATGTGTGGAAAAAGTACACCAGCACAACCACACAGCGAGACTCGCACACGTATACAGCGTACACTTGCTGTTGGTGAAACAAAAGTGCGGAAAATGTGTAAATAGTCGGCAAATGTAATAAATCTCATCAGCTGGAGAGTGTCTTTAAGTGTGTTTATTGTGTTTTTGTAACTACCAACGGGTGATTTCGCTGGCTGGTGAAAATAAATATTGGATACGTTTCCCGCCACTTCTACTTTTGTGTACACATTTCTCTCACTTCCATACTTGCTCTCTCGCGTGTTTCGGTGTGTGCGTGTGTGTGTGTGAGAGTGGGCTGTTGTGGGTGGCTTGTGGATTCATTTGTTTGTTATACCCTTTAGAAAAGGTATTCTTATTTTGGCCACACGTTGCAACGTGAGGAGGATTTCCAATTGTGAGCTCAATTTAAAAGCAATAGGATTTAAACTCCCTCTGATATATACTATATTTCCCATTAGAATGATTGAAACCGATTTGCATAAGTTTGTTTTCAAAGATATTTACATAGTTTATAAATTTGCACAAGTAGAGAAGGTAAATAATGTCGATAGGAATAAATTGGAATATATCAAACCCATTTCCCATAACATAACATAACATAACATAACTATTCTTCAAAACTATTTTGCCAAACTGATTCTTTATCTAAGGGTATATGATTTCGGCTTCCCCGAAGTTTCTTTTCTAACCCATTTTTAATTTAAATACGCTTTTCAGTGGAAGGCGGAGCTCGAGGAGGTGATCGAGGTGGCCGGCTTGGACTCGGAGCTGTGGGTATCCATGTTGGCGGAGACGATGAAGACCTTCCCGGCCACCAGCTCTTTGAACACAGAGATCTCCGACTACGAGGACACGCGTCCCATCTTCACAGACATGGTCAATGACCTGCGTAAGTTGGTCACTAAGCACTCGGATTTGGGTATGCTGCCCCTGGAGTGCCAGTACCTAAACAAAAACGCGTTGATCTCAGTGGTAGGTGTAGAAACAACAACAAAAACCCATTTAATGTCAAACTAATCCTGTTTTTTAATTACAGGTGGGCCAGCAGCCCGCTCCCGTCAAGCATTTTACGCTGAAGCGCAAACCCAAGAGCGCCCAGTTGCGCACCGAGCTGCTGCACAAGTCCGCGGATGCGCAGTCTTCGCTGAAGAAGGCCTCGGCGCCCACGATTCCGCTGCGGTCACGTGGCATGCCCCGCAAGATGACGGACACCACTCCGCTCAAGGGCATCCCATCGCGCATGCCCACAACGGGATTCCGCTCTGCCACGGTGCCGGGCAATGCCACCCAGCGGCCCAACCTTAGTCGCACGCCCGCCGGCCGCAAGGATGGCGGCATTAAGCTGATCGAGTTCACCGAACAGCCGCTGGGCTATGCCGCGGCCAAGAAGCGCAAGCGTGAACAGCAGCTGGAGGAGCAGCAGAAGAAGCAGGAGCAGAAGCAGCAACAGGCGGCTGCGGCAGCTGCAGCGGCCACGGCAGCGGCGGCCAATGCCGGCGACAGTTCGCCAACGGACGCAGCAACGGCCAGTGGAGGCGAAACACCCGTCACGCCCACGTCGGCCAACAACAGTTTCGAAATCAAAATGGAGCCACAGCTGCTCAACCAGAGCGCGGGCAGCCTGGAAGAAGCGCAGGACGAGGAGATGCCTGGCAAAACGCCAATGGAGTGCGATCCCGAGACGCCGGAGTACGCCACGGCCACGCTGGACTTCGCCCAGGCTACCACCACTTCTGTGGCAGATGGTCAACCTGGAAAGCCCTCTGCCGAAGCCAAGACGAAGACGCCGCGCACTCCGAAATCAGCTGCAAAGCTGAACAACAACAACAACAACAACAGCTTCAATCATACCCCAAAACGAATCAAGCAGGAGATCGAGATCAAGAGCGAGGAGATCATAGTGCCCGCCAGCATCAAGCTGGAAAAGATCGAGACATCCCCGTCGACGCAGGGCCAGCAGCAACGCGTCATCATCCAGCAGCAGCAGCAGCCGCCTAGCTTGGTGCAGCGCACCCCGCACCTGCTCATCCGAAGTTCGCCCCAAAAGCGACAGAACAATGGAGCCACCACTAGTTCCGGCACCACCACCACCGTGGGCAACACTACCATCAAGATGGAGAAGCTGGACATCAAGCCTATGCTGCGAGCCACCGGCGTCTCACCGTCGACGAGTGCGGGCACTACGACCACCCTCCTCACACCGCAGCAACTTCGCCAGGCGGCCAATCCACTGGCCAATCTGCCCAACAACATCTCCGTGAAGATCACCTCCGCCAAGGCCAAGGCGGCGGCGGCCGCCGCAGCAGCAGGACCCAGTGGAAGCCAACCCCAGGCGCAGCAGCCACAGACGGTGCAGGTTCAACAGGCGCCACAGCAGTCGCAGCCCCCGCTCCTGATCAACAGCTCCACTCCCGTCATCCTGGCATCCTCACCGAGCGCTCAAAGAGCGGTAAGTTGCCCTAGACGAAAGAAGAAGTGTAGATAGGAAATTTCTTTAAAAAGAATTAATTTGAAATCAACAAGGATGTTTGATACCTCTAGAAAATTAGAAATGGTTTTAAATGCCACAGGTGTTGTTCAGCGTTATTGAAATTCAAGCTGAAACATGAGAGAATATGTATAAGAAATGTAGGGTTCGCTTTCATTCGTTTAGAAGATTTTTTTTCTTAAATTTTCATTTTTCCACGTGGTATTTAAGGGCCTCTGATCAGATAATTTATTTTAAATTGGTTGTCCAGACTTGGTTTGAATGCTCCATGAAAGATATCAATAACTTTACAAGGTTCGAATTAGGAAACATTTTTATGAAATTAGTTTGTTAATTAAACAACTTTATATATAATACCATGTTTTATCATGATTGTTATTGTTATGTTTACCTGATATATACCTATGTACCGTATTCTTTATATATAATACCAAGTATTATCATTCAATTACTATTCCTATGTTATACCTATGATCTATACCTATGTACCGTATACTAATCAACTTATATATTTGTTTATTACATTCTTTTGGTTTTAGAAGGCTTTGGCCATGCCCAGCAGCAGTACCGCCCCCACCACTACCACGACAATACCGTCGCAAGCCATAAAGACGATGCCGCTGAGCCAACTAAAGACGGCCACCAACAGCGGACCGGTGATCATATCGCAGACTATTATTCAGCCGGCAAAGCGAGCCCAACAACAGGCTGGAACCTCGAGTGCAGCGGCCGCTTCCCAGCAACAGCAGCAGCAGCACCAACAACAGCAACAGCAACATCAGCAGCAGCAGCAGCAACAGCAGCAACTGTTGCACCAGCAAATCCAACAGCAGACGCAACAGCAACAGTTGCCACAGCAACAGGCGCCGCAGCAGCAACAGACGCAGTATATTTTGGCAACGCCACAGCAGCAAACGCAACATATACAGCAGCAGCAGCAGCAGCAGCAACCCATGTTGCCAACGCTAACCTCGTTCTCCCACAGTCGTCCTTTGCCGCAGACGACGACGCTTTACCAAGCCACCACACCCGGCGGAAATGGCCAGACTCCCACCAAGATATTGCTGAAGACCTCGGGCTCATCGAGTGTGGTGATGACACCTCTGCGCCAGGGCCAACCGCAGCAGGCTACTGCTGTGGTCTCCTCGAATCCGCCGCCTCTGGTGGCCACCTCGGCGGCAGTTGTTTCCCCCGGACAGTCGACCACCTTGAACATTCAAAACGTGCAGCTTCCCAATCGGCCGGTGACCATCCAACCAGCCTCCCAGGCAGCCCAGCAACAGCATATGCAGGCCCAGTTGCAGCAGCAACAGCCCCATCCACAGCACACGATCGTGGCCAATACGACGGCCACCCAGCAGCCCAAGTTGTCGCAGGTGCTTATGCAACCGACCGGAGCCGTTGGGTCTGGTGGCGTTTCCGCCCTGAACGTCTCACCCACGTCCGGCAAGAACAAGACCATCATACTCACCCAAAAGGGGGTCATACTGCGCAACATCGGCGGCGACATGTACCAGCAAATACCCATCAGCAATGTGGGAAACCTGCAAGGACTGGGCGGAACTACGCTCATGACCACCACCGCTGGACCGCCCAGTTTGGTGAAGACCACGTCTTCGACCGGAGTGCAGCTGCAGCAGCCTGGCAAGCAGATACTGCCCACCCTTATACCAACCAGTTCGCTGGGCGGGCAACACGTCATAGTGCAACAGCAGCAACCCACCAACGTCATTGGCAATGTAAGTGTTGAAGCTTTTTCTTCTCGATACGATATGGATGGTGTTAATGTGTTAATGCTATTTTACATATAATAATACGTTTGCGGTGAACAGTAGAACTTGCCTCGAAATAATTATACGTTAAATGATTAAATATAATGCTGTTTACACTTTTTTGTGCTTTTAGTTCGCATTGCTTTTGAAAGTTAAAAC